AATTGATATGCTATATGCTATGATAAGCTTTAATGATTTCACGGTGAACCTCACGCGCAGGCTCTGACTGTTGTTTAGAACCAGTAACCTAAACGACAAGCGAATATGATGTTCCCACTTTGGTACTCTATACTGAGTACTATTGGAAACCAGGGAAATTCATAGACAGTTTGCTATTTAAAAAAAAGATGATTATGAAAAGGCACTGTCAATCTTTACCCAGAATATAGTAAACTGACAATTTCGTGTACATATATTTTTTGAACACATTAACAATGCATGTTTACACGTACGTATTACCCTTTCATTTTGGAATATTCGACAAGACATTGATCAGTTTTAGCAGTTGAATATAGATTTATTTTCTTTATTAGTTTGATGCTTAAAACATGTCTTCCAAATCTAAACGGTTATCATTGTGACTTCATCTGGGATTTAAAAATTAGAGCTAATCGAATGGCAATAAGATGAAAGAGAAGTTTGAAGTGCTGGGTTTGTTTCAATATTTGAAAAGCGGATTGGGGCATTGACAGGGGTAGCGGGAATTAATTGACAAACAGGAGAGAGAGAGATAGAGAGAAGACAGAGGGGGGAAAGGAAGACAGAGAAAAGGCTTCTTACTTTAAAGAATCTTAGAATAACAGGTATGAACCCCTCCCCCTTCACTGGTGCCCCCTCATTGGTTGGATTCTTTCCTTTTCTCTCTCTTCCTCACTCCCTCTTTCTCCCACCACCTCTTTCTCTCACTCTTTCCTTCTTTTTTTCCTCCTCTCTTTACTTCTTCATCTCCTCTTAATCGTATCCTCTACCCCTCTTCCTCACTTGTTTTCTCTCTCCCTCCATATTCATTCTCCCAATCCTCTTTTTCCTTCTTCACCCCTTTGTACTTATCTCTGTCTCTCTCCCTATCCCGAAGTGTCTCCTTTTCCCCTCTCATCCTATCTCTCTTTTTCTCCCTCTCTTTTGATTAAACTGAGCCCCTCACCTTAAATCCCCCCCCCCCCCCACCCTCTCAATCATGTTGAGCACAAAGACAAAATAAAGACTGAAACGGCACATTATTTTAAGCATGTTTCAAATATTTCAATGTTTGTAAAGAATATTTTCATAATAGGCATCTCTTTTCATGAAACATGCAGAACATACACGTTGCCCCACACTACACAACGATGTATGCTGCAATGGACCAATGCAACATTTAATAAAGTATTGCCGGTAGGATCAGGGGCGGCTCCAGGATTATATGAATGGAGGTTGTTTAACATGTTATGTGTGAACAAGGCACAGTACACAACATTCAACGATCATGAAAGAATGAATGCTGACAATAGAAATGATTCATAGAAAATAATAGAAACTTCCACAAATTGATAGTTCATTGTAAAAAAAAGACATTCTTAATTACATACATGTGCAGAATCACAAATAACTTTCAAGAAGTAAATACATGTAGCAGTCCAACATATGGAAGGAAATGATCAAAGGCAATAGAATGACCTGCTTCATCTACTTGGAGCCTGAAGGATATTAACTCTACAATCTACATGTATGTCAAAGCATATAATGTAACACCCTTCTGGCTCTCGGCAGACACCAACAAAGTAAGTGAAGACGTAACATAAACCCTGTCACAACATAACATGAAATGTTGACCAATCGAAGCTTTAAATAGTTTTCATTTCTTTCAATCATTATAAGTTTAACCGAAGTACAGTACACGCCGAAAATCTCCGCAACACGATTTACACGATTCAAAATTTACACGATTCGAATGCTCGCGGGAATCGTGTAACCATTTATTTTACACGATTCGTCTTTTGCCAATTAAGCGAAATTTGAACCGTGTAAACGTGTAATCGTGTAAAATTACACGATTCCCCAATTCAGGTCGAATCGTGTAATCGTGTAATATGCATGCCGAAAATCTCCGCAACACGATTACACGATTCAAAATTTACACGATTCGATTGCTCGCTGGAATTGTGTAACAATTTTCAGTAGTGATGGTGAGCAGATTACGATGTCTAGTTCAGTAGAAGCAGGAATAACCAACAGCTGAGAGGGGGGGGGGGGTTGAACAAAGACAACGGGGACGAGGGGGAGAGCGAAGATTACGCATTCTGTCTCTCTTACATATTTTTAATTGCGGTGTGTGTCTCTAGTTTAATTTTAGACTGTTTAAAAATGAAAAAAATCAGTTCACTTCCCGAAAAGCACTCTCGGATTTAATCCTCGGTGAGAAAAAAAAGAGAAAAAAGTGATGAACGACAAAAGAAGGGGGGGGGTATCCTTAGTTGTAAATAAATATTTAAAAAATATTAGAAAACTTAAAGGAGGGCTAACATAACTAAGTATGTTGTGATACTTTTACATTACAAGGCAGTACTAATTAGAAGTATGTTCACGAGCTCATTCGTTACTATAAATGTCGTTATACTATGTATTTTATTCCGTCATTATCCATGAGAGTGCGAGGGGCGTCATTTTCCCCCACGAGAGTTCCTGGCCTTGGCTGATAATTATGTTTTTCGTCATTGGCAGCTTGAAAAAGGTCACAAACAATTACACTTTGGTTACTTATTGCTTTTTTGACTTTCCTCATTTTTGTAAATTATCTTTTACAACATGCATTTAGCTACATGTATGAAGAGCCACGGTCAAGGATTAATGGCACACTTCCTGTCACATACAAAGGAAGCTTACTCTGAATGTAGCCTGTCATTTGACCCTCGCCGGGGACAAAGGGCGTTGCCTTAGCTAGTAGTGTTGTAGATCATTACGTAATACCTAGTGTTCAGAGGGTCATATGTTTAAGGGGAAAAAAGTAACAAGGGGCAAATGTAACGGCGGCTCCCACCCCTATAGTAGAAACGCGCTATGCATATACGCCCTGCACAGCTTCCAAAATACAACAATATACAAGAATAACAGGTCAAAATTAAGTCAGCTTGAACAGGATAACCCACGAAAGCTCGAGAGCCAATTAATAAGTTAAAATAGTAATATTTAGAGACAGATAAGAAAAAGAAAATCACACTTATTAAAGATAATAATGATGATAATGATAATAACAACATTGAACTGATGATCGAAATGATAATAAGTACAAGAAGAAAATAAGAAGGAGAAGAAGAAAAAGAGGAGGAGCTATCGGAGAAAGAGGAAAATTATGATCAATATGTAGAACTTTATATTACGTAAAAAAACATAAAATGAAAAGGTATGAACCCGCAGAAGAATAACAATTTCAATCATATAAAATGTCATTCGCTTCGATGTTCTCTGACTCTCGAGTGTTAGGTATTCCTTTAATTTCCTCTTAAAATAAGCAAAGTTTTCTATTTCCTTTATATCATTAGGAAGGGAATTCCTAATTTTGTATGCCATCGTAATAAAACGAACTACCAATACTAATTACTCTTTCTGGCAAGTTAAAGTTGAATCGGCTATTCCTTGTATTATAATCATGTGAGTCAGTAACGAGATCGAAGTTGGAAGGAATATAATGATTCGACCTAGTATGATATATTTCATGCACGTGATGCAATACGAGTTCAAGACATCGGGTTTTTAGCACGGGAGTAAAATCTTCAATTACCTAAAAAGAACTATAAAAAAATTTTAAAAAAAAAAATCTGGACAAAATATGTGCTTGTGCTATCACTGTCATTTGTATATGGTCAAAAAATAAGATTTTAGGCCCTGTATTAGGCGAAGTTTCAAGGACGAAATTTAATGCTAGGATACAAAAAATAAAAAGTATGACCGCCCTCCTAGGGGGCAAATGTAACAACGTTATAACTAGTATAATTCTCCCCACGTAACTGGAACAAATATAATGTAGTTGAGTCAAGCATGAACCCTACTAGCGAGTGGTGAAAGCAAGACACGATTAGCAGATTGTTGCAGCTGGTCGAATCATCCTTCCAATGCCCTTATAACCATTATAACTATTTACACGATTACACGATTCAGAGCGACAGTCTTCAATCGTGTAAATTTACACGATTACACAGTTACACGTTTGTTGCATCTGGTCGAATCATCCCACCAATGCACTTAACTATTTACACGATTACACGATTCAGAGCGATAATCTTCAATCGTGTAAATTTACACGATTACACAGTTACACGATTCAGGTGAATCGTGTAAACCGTGTAATCCAAAAAATATATCGTGTAATCGTGTTGCGGAGATTTTCGGCGTGTACTGTACGTTAGGGTCTGCATCATTCCCGGAGGAAATATGTCAAAATATGCACCCCCCCCCCCCCCCCACAAAAAAGAGTAAGTAATGATGGAAAGTAAATGAAGGAAAAGTTATACATAAACCCTGTCACAACATGAAATGAAAATTTGCAGCAACATAAATATATCTATACAAGACAATACCAATGCCCTTATCTATAGAGAAAAAGAAAGAAAAAAAAAAGGAAATTTGTCCAATATTTTGAATAATTCACATGTCCACATAGTCCACCTAAACCCCAAAGGACGTTAAATCAAATCCTTAAAGCCACACTATACTAGCAGTATCCCCTCTAGGCTCTAGCGCCATCTCAGGTCAGCTGTAGCAGTATAGTCCCGTAACTTGCTGCGCTGTTGATTTTCCCTTCGATTACATATAGGTATTTGGTAATGCACTGTTGGCAAGTTGACCATGAGATGGCGCTGTGCAGTAAACAGTACGTTTGTGCAGAACGTTCATCTATTCATCATCGCTTAAATACACCCATCAAAACACCACACCGACTCTAACCCGAACGATTCTTGCCGATTTTCTTGCCGATCTGGATACTGTCTGGTGTTGGTCTTGTTGATGTGACTGAGTTAACATCCTTCTGGCTCTCAGCTAACACTCAAGTTTGGCAATTGTATTTGTCCAATAAATCCAGTCCAAATTAAAGCCTCTTAGCTCTTCATAAACCTAAAATACAAGTCCTGTGTGTCCCTCAAATTGTGATTTAATACAGGCATAAATGATGGTAAAGTCTATCAACCGCCACACATAAAGAATTTGGGTAAAGCTACAATGTACAAAATCAACCTGAAAAAAATGTCTTTTCAGAAGTAATATTTGAAGCTCACATCTTGAATAAAATATTGCCATATTAAACTTATAAGATACGTAACAAAAGATATTTTGGTGATTGGTCATTTGAAAGTGTATCAAACACCACATACTATTTTCTATGTCGCTATACTACATTCAAAATATGAGCTTCAAATATTACGGTGATATTGCATGTTAAAATACACTCTCTCCAATGAATTCATATACAGTGAAACCTGATTTAGCGACCACCTGTATAGAAAGACCCCCTGCCTATAAAGACCCATGCCTATAAAGACCACCTGACTTTACAGACGGCTATCATCATCGCCCTTGCGTGGTCCTTATACAGGTTAATAAAATAAATCATATACAAACAAACATTTACAGTCAAACTCAATCATATAGCTACATTTCTCTACCTGCAAAAATAATTTTGGAATTAGCTTAAAGCTCAATAAAGTTCTCTGTCATTAAATGTCACACAATATCTTCAATGGGATAATGGCATATACATACATATATGTTATAGACTTTTAATTCATCTTATAACTTCATCATTCAATAGCTAGCATGCATCATTGACAATGTACACAAACCAAGGCATATACACATTAAGTCTATTCATTCAATATAATAAATTGTGCAGAATACATGTATGTTTGAACATCGATAGACAGGTAAACCTGTGTTTTCAAAAAGGCTGAGCAGCTAATGATCTTTGATGATCACTTTTTGGACCTTACTTTTCTCATTGTGAGGTGTAACATTATTTTTATGAACATAAATAATACAGACTGGTTTCTTTCATTTCAGCACAAGAAATATTGTACTTACAAACACATTAATGAGCTGTATTTGTTTAAAGGAATGAATTATCAAATTCAATTCAATTCAAATTCAAACATTTATAATCTTCAAATGTTCTTTTTTGACTGTACAGATTATCAACTTTCAATGCAATTATATTTCTCTTTTAAACACATTTGTCCTTTCCATTGTCCAGCAGTTTTATGTGCACAAACATAAATACATATAAACATACAAAATAAATATAAACTCTGTCTACAGCATGCATTTAATACACTCTCCAATATTTTCACAGTTTGCATGATTTCTTTATATTTTGCGGAATGATACGACAATGCTTGCACTCCCAGAAAACGAAATTAGATATTCATCTACAACGATAGAGGGCGCTGGTTATGTGTCGACTTCCGAGCCACTGTACTCTTCACACCGTAGTGTCTAGTTCAATGATCGGAGTCATCTTTACACAGAGTTTGGCCAACTTGGTTTTTATAGTTGATTACAACATGGCATATATTGATCTAGCTGTGCTTGTCCAACAAAGCAGTCTTTGCCATACTGTGCCCATCTTGAATCAGGTTGGCCAAACTCTCCCAATCAATGGCACAGCATGGTTGACCTGGGATAACTTGCTTCTTGACCTTTATCCCCAAATGGCTAATTTGAAATCCACGATTGGTGAGAAATATCACACACATGTACTTGTAGCATACCGGTGATATTTATGTTCATAAATTTGCAAGTGATTTTAACAGTTCAGAAAAGTCACTTGGTTTTAAAGATTACTTGACCTGTATTCCACAAGTGGCCTATACATGTACAGACACGTACAGGATTGCATGAATTCCAACACCTCTACATTCTTCATATATGCACAAATATTTAAACCACTGTGAACCGGTGCTAACTGGTAAAAGCTGGTGGAAACTGGTGGAATCCGGTTCCAACCAGTAAAGCAAGACACTGTCCTGTGAAAGGGTATGTGTTGTCATCAATGTCTCTGTTGAACGCGAACATGCTGTATAGGTTATCAGCATCTGCCTTGTAAACGATATATTGCAGATTACCTTATCTCTCCTTTGAGGTCATCATCATGTCAGAGGTTGCTCGAGAGGTCACGAGGTCATGTCCGATCTGCTTCCCCGTTTTTCTTCCACACGCTCACAGTCCTGTCACTGTTCAGATAATGTTAAAGAAAAAACATAAAAGATAAATCAGTTCTGTTGTCGTGTAATTTGAGGAAGATAAGGATTTTTGAAGTTATAGTTTGATTTTATATTCCACGACTTTATAATGTTTTTGTAGTAAAAAAATAAAATTATATGATTTGATAACTGTGGGCTCTGCCTCATAGTGTTTCTTTTAAAACAACGTATCAACCTCCTTTCGCAGGTGAATAGTGGTTTATGTCTTCTAAATTAAGTATACAGGTGTCTTTTAAATTTCCTGTACCTTAGAAATAAGATGCTACACAATGATTCAGAAGTATTATAGGGTCGATTGACAGTTGTTTTTGTACCTTCAATATCTTACTCACTGTCAGTAGATAGTATTATACAACTCACTCCCAGATCCTAATCAAATGATTGGTCATGCGCTGAGCCTACTGCACGCTGATTCAAGAAAAAGCGTTCAATATTTTCCAGTCCTATTGCACTCTTTTTCAGTGCGCAGCAGTGCGCGTAGAGGTTAGAGCGCTTAATGTTAGGCGGTGTCACACAGAGGCCAAAAATTTGGATTTTAGTTATCCGGATTTAGTTATCCTCTTAATTGCTGTCTGTCATCAATTATCCCATTAAAAATCCTCTAACGAAGCAAGAAAATTCTCCTTTGAAAGGATTTTTCAAGGGATTTTTTTAAGGGATTTTTCTGTGTGACAACGCCTATTGAGTGTGCATGGTCCTATTCTTGCGCAGCACTATGCGTAAATGAGTATAGATATTGTGTGCGCACTAAATTAAGCCTTATTAAACTTGAGGTTTATTTGTCAGCCATAAACTGTCACAAAACAATCTTGAATGAAATCTTTTTACATGAAATAACAAGGATCTAGGACTTTCGTTGTATAAAACAAATAATGCATGTTTTTTTCAAAATCCGTTTTTCTTCAATATCTTACTCATTATCAGTAGATAGTATTATACAACTCACTCCCAGATCCTAATCAAATGATTGGTCATGCGCTGAGCCTACTGTACGCTGAATCAAGAAAAAGCGTTCAATATTTTCCAGTCCTATTGCACTCTTTTTCAGTGTGCAGTAGTGCGCGTAGAGGTTAGAGCGCTTAATGTTAGGCGGTGTCACACAGAGGCCAAAAATTTGGATTCTGTGTGACACCGCCTATTGAGTGTGCATGGTCCTATTCTTGCGCAGCACTATGCGTAAATGAGTATAGATATTGTGTGCGCACTAAATTAAGCCTTATTAAACTTGAGGTTTATTTGTCAGCCATAAACTGTCACAAAACAATCTTGAATGAAATCTTTTTACATGAAATAACAAGGATCTAGGACTTTCGTTGTATAAAACAAATAATGCATGTTTTTTTCGTTCCTTTTACTAATCGCTTCGTGCAATAGATATACACAGCCTCAACTCGAGTGCGGATAGATCGTATAATGAACTCAGGCGCATGCATCATTTGTATATTAGTGAGACCCATAGCGAGAGATAGTTGAGACACGCACACACATATGCGATTAAAGGTCAATGTATGGATCTCCAAATAGTTTCCTGTCACAGAGATTGTATGTGGAAAGGAACTTATTTGAAACTTCATGAACTGACCTTTGATCGTGTACTCACAGCGATGTGTCACAACTATTACTCTCAATAAGCTTTGGTTAGACCTTGATTTAGTGTTTATCGTTTGACCTGATACACAGGTGTTTTTTTTTTAGACTCACAGTATCTGTAGGTAGTATTAGTAAGACTATACCATCACCCATCAATCTCTTATCGAGCTATAGACTTAACGGACAGGTTTTTTTATGCCGACCAAGCAATAAAGTGTTCTACATGCTATAGACTTGATATACAGGTGTTTTGTTATATATTATTATCTTACCCAGTGTGTGCAGATTGCATTAGTAAAACCATTCTATAAACCGCTCATCGTGCTATAAACTTGGGAGTCTGGTGCTTTCAGACTTGCGCCACAACTTGATCTCATCACTGTTTCCATGCCAACGGGATGCCAGCCAGCCAGCAGAGGTCATGATGACAGGCGGGGATCACATGAGGGCAGCAGACAGGCAGGAAAGCAGTGCAAAGCATACAGGGATGGATGCAAATGGGTATTTCAAGCACAGAAAGCGAGAGGGAGAGAAGTAAAGCAAAGAAGTAAATGACTTATAAAGCATGCAGGAAGGTCACGAGTAAAGAGCAAATTGCTTTCAGATATATGTATGCATGCAATACAAAAAGACAAATAAAGCATAAGAAAATTCATTCATCATTCTTATACACAGAGATTGAAAGCAAGAAGCATTAACAGTTTACAGATAATAAGATGTAGCAAAGGGTTTGGCAATGGTAGTGTCATCATATATGAATTCGATACAAGTTAATGATATAGCAACAAAGAGGCAGCTTTGAGAGATTATTTATTTATTTAACGATACGGCGTACAAGACAATTGCCACAGATGGAAAGCAATATAGTTAACACACAAACAAAGATAGAATAGGAAAGATTATGTTTGTAATAAAAGTTCAGGAGTTGTGTAATAAATACAAGTAGTACCAAGATAGCATACATGTAGGTGGTAAGGAGAGTAAATGAGTAAAAGTTTGTGAAGAAGAATCAAAGCAAAGGAAAGAACTTATATTATTGATGCATGAGGTGATTTTTAAAGTCATGTGACAATTTAAAAAGTCAGGTGACATTTTCATGAGAAATGAGTTCATGAGTTCATTCGTTGATTCATATAATTTTCAGTTTGTATTTTCACCCCCAAAAAGTAATAGAAAAAAAATGAAATGTGGGGACCAGGAATTTGGAATCATAAGATTATATATAGGAATCATAAGATTATAAAATATATGTGATTAAAATTAGAATGCATTTTTATTACATGTGCATGTTTGAAAGAATCATGTGCAAAAAAGAAGGCAGATTTTAATGTAATAACCGTAGGACAAACGGAAGAGAAATGGCGAATGTGTATTATGTTATGTCATTCAAAGTAAAATAAATGAATGTGTAAATATTTGAAGATGGTTTGAAACACGAATGATATGAGTTACAACATAACAAAATAAAATTGATGATAAGCATGAATAGTTAGGAAGGAAGGGAAGAAAAAAACAAAGAAATGAGAATAGAACACGTTTACACAAAGAGAAAACACAAACAACGATTCAAACAAATCTGGCTTGCATCATGTGATATACGGCACATATTATGTTTTGCTCTATATAAATTTGAATACAGAATTGATTACAGAAACAGAGGGCAGTAGATAGTTGAACCAACAAAAAGGAAAAAGTGATGGGAAGAGGGAGATAGGAAGAGATGGGAGAGGGAGAGATGGGAGAGAGAGAGAGAGACAGAGAGAGAGAGAGAGGCAGACCATATAATACAAAAATGAAAATGTAAGTGAAAAGGAGAAAAAGAGAAATACAGAGAAACATATCAAGTGAACGAGAGAGAGGACAGTGAGAAAAGATAGAGATACAGCGATTAAGAGAAAGACACCTGCCCACGCAGAGAAAGACACACACTCACACAGAGAAACACACCCACCCACACAGAGAAAGACACACACCCACACAGAGAAACACACCCACCCACACAGAGAAAGACACACCCTCACAGAGAGAAAGACACCCACCAACACATAGAAAGACACACACCCACACAGAGAAAGATACCCACCCACAAAGAGAAAGATACCGACCCACAAAGAGAAAGACACCCACCCACACAGAGAAAGACACCCACCCACACAGAGAAAGACACCCACCCACACAGAGAAAGACACCCACACCCACACATATAAAGCCACCCACCCACACAGAGAAAGATATCCACCCACACAGAGAAAGACACCCACACCCACACAGAAAAAAGATACCCACCCAAACAGAGAAAGACACCCACACCCACACATACAGAGCCACCCACCCACACATAAAAAAAACATCCACCCACACAGAGAAACACACCCACCCACACAGAGAAAGACACACACCCACACAGAGAAAGACACCTGCCCACGCAGAGAAAGACACACACTCACACAGAGAAACACACCCACCCACACAGAGAAAGACACACACCCACACAGAGAAACACACCCACCCACACAGAGAAAGACACACCCTCACAGAGAGAAAGACACCCACCAACACATAGAAAGACACACACCCACACAGAGAAAGATACCCACCCACCAAGAGAAAGATACCGACCCACAAAGAGAAAGACACCCACCCACACAGAGAAAGACACCCACCCACACAGAGAAAGACACCCACCCACACAGAGAAAGACACCCACACCCACACATACAAAGCCACCCACCCACACATAAAAAGACATCCACCCACACAGAGAAACACAACCACCCACACAGAGAAAGACACACACCCACACAGAGAAAGTCACCCAACCACACAGAGAAAGACACTCACCCACACAAAAAAGACACCCACCCACACAGAGAAACACATCCACCCACACACAGAAACACAACCACCCACACAGAGAAAGACAGCCACCCACACAGAGAAAGATACCCACCCACAAAGAGAAACACATCCACCCACACAGAGAAAGATACCCAACCACACAGAGAAAGACACCCACACATAGAAAGTCACCCAACCACACAAAGAAAGATACCCACCCACAGAGAGAAAGACACACACCCACACATAGAAAGCCACCCACCCACAGAGAGAAAGACACACACCCACACAGAGAAACGCACCCACCCACACATATAAAGCCACCCACCCACACAGAGAAAGATATCCACCCACACAGAGAAAGACACCCACACCCACACAGAGAAACGCACCCACCCACACATATAAAGCCACCCACCCACACAGAGAAAGATATCCACCCACACAGAGAAAGACACCCACACCCACACAGAGAAACGCACCCACCCACACATATAAAGCCACCCACCCACACAGAGAAAGATATCCACCCACACAGAGAAAGACACCCACACCCACACAGAAAAAAGATACCCACCCAAACAGAGAAAGAAACACACACCCACACAGAGATAGAGAACAGACATGGAGTTAAAGATGAGAGGGAAAATGAGGGCCCAACAAAGACATGAAAAGGAAGACAAGGGCAAGAGAGGAAAAACGAAAATAGAAAAAGGGAGGCAAAAATAGATCAAAAGAAATAATGCAGTACAAGAAACAAAGAGAGAGATAGACAACACACAACATAAATAAAAACAGTGTACATGTACATTGAGAAGCAATAGCTGACAAAGAAAACACAATCAACAAAGAAGGAAACGACATTCATATATACATCATGCATAGCAACTTGCAAGCACTAATCACCAAATTTCATTAGGAAACATGAACAGCCTAAAAAGTAGCAAAGGTACATTTACATATACTTGTCATTTACATCGAGCAAGCCCATAGCATATTTAGAGTGATGGTTGTGACACACACATTCAGGGGTATGGAAGTTGGGTCACAGGTAAGATCAAGTTCCTCAAAATAGTTCCTTCCCGCATACAAAAGGAAACTATTTGGGGGCTTCATGAAATGCCTGACCTGAAATGCCTGAGCTCTAAATTTTTTTATAGCAGATGAATAAAAAGAATGGGAAAAGATTTCTGCTCATATTGGGTCTATTTTTCTTCTAATGACTTAATTGCATTTGACGCCTGGAAATTTATAAAGGAAAATAACCTAATTGCCCATTTGAAGAACAACATGTGTTTAATTAAACCCCCCACCCCCCCCCCAAAAAAAAAGGGGGGCCATTTTAAGCCTACTGCACACTACACGATCTTCTTGCTATTCAATTTGTCAAAGAAATGACATTGTATTAGACAAGATAAACAAACATTATCGCAATGTTAGGGCATTGAGCTGAATCAGCTTTAAATCGTAGACAATCGCAGTAATAAATAGTCTGACTTCAATTTCTGAGCTGATTTAGTTGTGTTTGTTTCAAAGGAAGCATGAAATATGACTATTCAGATCCTTGGTCATTAAAATTTTTACACATTGAAATATTTGAATCAAATTTTATCACAATCCTCTAAAATCGGATCGCAGTCGGATTGTAAAGCGTGCGGTAGGTTTTACTTGGTCATGCGTGAATGAGCCTTGATAAAGACGATTAAATCACCTAGATGCTGTGAAGACATGGGTGGAGTTTGTTGCTATGGAGTTGATAGGGCTGGTATGAGCTTTCATCTCGCCGACAGGTGTACAGGTGTCGATGTTCCACAGCTTCAAATAGCCCCCTCTACAACCGCTCAACAGACAGTTGTAGCTAGGTAAGAAGTCCAAGGCACAGATCCAGTCTTTATGAGCGTTTGACATTGCCTGATAACATTGAAACAATAAAAGAATATATGAATGAATGCATATTATTCCCCTTTTTTTCAGGTTAAGACTGAGATTTACTATCGAAAGAACGTCTGGCATAGTCACTCCTGAATTGTTTAAACTTGTGGCAAATGCAGAGAAGCTGGCACAAGACTTCCTTGGGGGCTGACACTATAAAAAGACATGAGAGCATCTGACCTCACGAGCAGATGGTGAAAAACGTAAAGCTTGGAGAAGGGCCATAAGAGAAATTAAACGTCCACTCCCAAAGTGAGTTAAAAGCAGACCCACTCTTCAAGACATCACAATTATTTCTTTCTCCCTCCCTCCTTCACTCCCTTTCTTTTTCACACCCTCTTTCTCTTCATTACTTCTTTTCTTCCTTCCTCCTTCTCTCTCCCTTCTTTCCTTCCTTCTTCCATTCTTCTGTCTCCCTTCCTTTCTCCCTTCTTTTATGTGCCTTCCTTCCTCTTCTGTCTCTCCCTCCCAGTTCCTTACAACCAAAGTCTGCGGTTCAAGTCCCGCCGCGGCACTAATGTCCTTTGGCACGACACTGATCTACATTTGCCACACTCAACCCATGTGATGTAAATGGGCACCTGGCAGGAATTAATTCCTTGAAATGCTAGAGCGCTGTAATGGTAGGGGTGCTAAAGCGAGGGTAATAATCTCCTTCTGCGCCTCAGAATAGTTTACTAGATCAATGGCGCATTACAAATGCTGTAGTATTACTACATACCTTTGACAGCTGTTTCTGGTCCAAGTCCCACTTTTTAATGCAAGCATCTCTGGACCCGCTGAAGAGGGAATTCCCCCTGATTGCCATGGACTGGATACCATCGTAATGAGGGGGGTCAAAGTTGAAAGACGAGGTCAGGCAACCAGAAGCACCTGGCTCTACCTCAAACATCTAACGGAAAGAAAATGAAATGAGGGATTTTATAAAACAAACTACTTACAGGTTCACCTATACATATGTAAGGAATCATTTCTGGGGGTGTTTCACAAAGATCCTAAGTTGAACTTAACTCTAAGTTGGACTTATAATTATGGAGAGCCATGTGGAAACCTTAAAATAAAATATATTTAAAAGCGAAAATTCAAGTATTTTAAACTTGTTATAAATTTCAAATCAAGAACATTTTCATAGATGCTAACAGCTCTCTATTATTGTTAAGTACAACTTAGAGATAAGTTCAACTTAGGATCTTTGTGAAACACCCCCTTGGTCTAAAATTATGTCTACTTATACAATTTGTGAAAATGAAGGAACAATGCATGTATTTTTAGAATATGAAAATAAGTCAGTTTTGCACTGTAATACATGTACACGAAGTAATAATAATAATAATAATAATGATGATGATAATGATGATGTTGATGATGATGATTCTAAGTGATTTACATTGTCATTACATGTATTATCACCTAACTCATTGGACTCGATTGCTATTGTGCCCATAACAGTGCATACACTCCTCTCCCAGGGAGTATTCTAGCCAGGCACCATGCCAGATATAGCAAACATTCTAGAAAATTGTTACTGCCAACATTAAAGTGCTTAAAAAAATCAGATTAAAAAAATGTAAAAGATGACAAATCAAAGTACCTTTACATAGTGATCTTTCGAACCAGCAAAGACTTGGTCAAACTGAGGTGTAGTCTTGACATCCAGACACATGACTGCTGCTGAGGGTCCTCCAAACAACTTACACATAGACTGAAAGCTGCAGATGAGAGATTGAAAAGAAATGATTGAATCATTAATCTGCTAGGGGAGTGTTTCACAAAGACTAAGATCGACTTTAAGTTGGATTTAACTATGGCAGGCCGATTGTACCAATGTTTGCTCTCAGAATTTAGTGGCATTTGTCTCTCAAGGGACCTACAAATCATGGTCACACATCTGCACAGTTGAGCTTGTTTAAAAGTTCCTTATTGAAGGGAAAAGATATTACCTGAAGATCATAATGGTGAGAGCAAACAGTGGTATGAACCGCCTGCATTAGTCAAGTCAAACTGAAAGTCAATCTTAATCCTTGAGAAACACTCCCCAGAAAAGATAAATATTTATGCATCAAAATCATTGTTTCAATCATTATACATCCTGTCTGAGGGACACTTACCTACTAAGGTCCCAGACTCTCACAATATTCCCTGCAGCAGAGTAGAGCCTAATGCCACTCTCATGGACATACCATTTCTCTCTCTCTCGGATGAGAGAGATATCTGTCAATATTACACTTCAAATCAATGATTCAATCATTATACATCCTATCTGAGGGACATTTACCTACTAAGGTCCAAGACTCTCACAATATTCCCTGCAGCAGAGTAGAGCCTAATGCCACTCTCATTGACATACCATTTATCTCTCTCTCTCTCAGATAAGAGAGATATCTTTCAATATTAAACTTCAAGTCATTGTTTCAATCATTATACATCCTATCTGAGGGACGCTTACCTGCTAAAATCCCAGACTCTCACAATATTCCCCGCGGCTGAGTAATGCCTAATGCCACTCTCATGGACATACTATTTCTCTCTCTCTCTATCTCTCTATCAGATAAGAGAGATATCTTTCACCATTACACTTCAAATCAATGATTCAGTCATTATACATCCTATCTGAGGGACGCTTACCTGCTAAGGTCCCAGACTCTCACAATATTCCCTGCGGCAGAGTAGAGCCTGGTCCCACTCTCGTTGATAGCGATGTCATTGATCTGTGTTTCACCCTGAGGTAGAGTTACTGTCCTTGATGAACTGCTTCCAGCTGTCTTATCAAGTTGCATGCCAGAAGAACTGCAGAGAGAGCAGACATTTTACACAGATTAAACACTGAATGAGCAATGGAAATGAATGGTCAATGTCAGTATTTAGCACCATCTAAACACTAAACAACTGGTAGGGGATAATCCCTGGACTTTTATGAAGCTACATTCATGTACATGTACCACATGAACTGTAAAGGGAAGTTAAAGATAAAGGTGAGTTCTGGTCATGCGATTGCATTGTGAAAGAAAAGGTGTGGAATGGATCAGAAAAAGTTGATCATGTCGCATGTAAGTATTGGTGTGCACTGCAAGGTTCTGGAGTCATCAATATCCCCGGCCCCCCCACTCAGAGGTCGGAATGACCGCATGCGTGTTGCCAAAATGTCCGGTAAAGGGGTACTTTTCGTGCAACAAAGTCCGGCCCGAGAATTGTAAAAAAAAGGGGTGTATTTAGGGGGGTACATTGTGCATTTTTCCTGATTTAGGGGGGTCTCCAAGGCAGGAAAAGCCCGCGAAAAGCCCGCGAAAGGGGGGTTCGGAAATGTTGGCAATCCTCAGATAGGGGGTGCTTTCAAAAAGAGGGTACGAGCATATGCGTACCCTAAATAACACTGAGTGGGGGGGCCGGGTCAATATCATAATAAATTTGGCCCAGTCTTGGTAAAGAAGCAAGCACCGTACACACAAATTTGTATATGGGACTACACAAATGGTGTTGAATTACTTACCTTGAATTCCTTATCTTTATATGCTTATTACTCGGCCTGTATACATTTTCTACCATAATTGTTTGGCAAATGACATTTATTTGTAATCTTGAACATTCAGTGCAAGTTTTGTTTGATTCTGTGAGAATTCATTTTTTTTCCCCAGAACTCTTTATCTTTAACACTTTACGCTGACTAAAAACCAACAACCTTTGAAAATAGTTATCTTGGTAATCAGACAGGCGATTAGCTTGTAAAAGTCATGGGATTCATGTAAGACCTAAAGGTTTATAATTATGATTGCAGCATGCACTAAATCCAGATTATTTTTTTTAGAATCTGAGGCAAAGTTACCCAATCCCTTTAGCGTCTCGCCAAAAAAAGGTTAGTGCTGTGGCACCCAACATCTAACATAACATCAACTTGACATAAACATAACAAAAAGTTCCATGGTGAATTACCTAAGGGTTGTAACACATTTTTGTGTATCTCTGATGTCCCAGATTCGTATAAACGCAGTAGAGACACTGAACACCAACTTGAGCTTCTCACAGTATCTCACTACTCCAACATTGTTTGTATGTCCGGCAAGTGTAGCTATCTCCTTCCCGGTGTCCAACTTCCAGATTTTCACACTCCGGTCTAATCGCGAAACAAAAAACAAGAAAGGTTAGTACTGTATTATTTACTTACTTACTTTGATTTTTAGGCATACCGGTAAAGATAACCTTATTTGCTCCTCCAGGTAATGCTATCTCTCTGGTATGGACTGTACTTAACCACTTGACTGCTCACCACGTACATGTACGTGTTCTCGCTCTTGCATGTCTGTGCGCACCACGTACATGTACGTGCTTAGTGCATTGCACTTTCAAGACCGTAGCACTGCATAAGGCCTAGCCCTAATGTGTAATTAGTACTGCAATGATGTTATACAGGTCTCGAACAGTATATGGCGCTCTTCTGGAAAAATACAGACTTTTTGTGTGTGCAGTGTACCTTTTTTGTGAAGTTTTTGTACAGTACAAAAAAATGCTGTAGCACAGGCGGTATGAACGTATTTTAAGCCATTAGCAGTCAAGTGGTTAAGGGGGTGGCTGTACCAATATTTCCCAAGGATGGATTTGAACTGGTTTACACTTGTTGCACTGACTGCTGAGTCTGGTATATTGACAAGTATTGTGTATTGATAAGTTCTTAGCAGATATATTATGTGACTACACAAACATAATCAATATGTCCAGCAATCTTGCTATCTCCCTATGAGCAACTTTCAGATATTCACACTCCGTTCTAATTATGCAGTTTGGGTTCCGGATGCGTCTATTCCAACCACCACATTTTGCTAAACTATCTAAGGTTAAAAGGTGTAGAGGTGTGTGGCCTAGTGGATAAGTCATCCGACTGGTTATCATAAGGTACGGGTTTGAGTCCGGCCGCAGCACTGATGTCCTTTGACAAGACATTAATCTACATTTGCCACTCACCATCCAGGTGTTAAATGGGTACCCGGTAGGATGCGAAAGTTACTGTATTTGCCGGCGTAAAGGCCGCAGTATTTTTGGAAGAGAAAATATCAAAAAGTCGGGGTGCGGCCTGTACGCCGAAACAGTAAAAATCGCAAGTCAAAACAGCACGTCCATTATTTGTAGGCAACTTCATACAAAAAAATATATTAACAAAATTGACTTGAAAACACATCGGACAAGATCTAGTCTGAACCACGTCAGCAGCAAATTTGAAGAAGTTATCTTTTTAATCGTTGTGCAACCAAAGAAATAAGAAGAAAACTGACCAGAAACTCGTACTAAAAATCGTACTTGTAAAAATGTCCTTAGAGTAGAACACCGACGATTGCGCGCTGTGAATCTCTGAAGGTGCGTTGGATTTGTTGGCAACTCCTAGCCCCGTAGCTCCCCACCACAGAGTGTGTGAGCGAGGTATGATTTTGGTTACTAACCCGTGCGCTGTCCAACTTAGACAGCGCACGAAATCGATGAAGATTTGCTAAATTACGACCATTTTTTAGGTAAACTTCCTGTAAATTTATAAAATGATTGATAATTTTGGTTAGTCTGTAGGAAAAATAGAGTTCTACGAGAAAATTACGATTATTTTCTTTGGTCCATTTTTTTTCCCCTTCCTCCCCAAGGAGTGAAGAATGCGCATACTTTGTGTGCGGGTAAGCCTAAATCCAATGACCGGAGTAATAATAAATCTGTAAAGCGCTTAGGCACATTGTTGTATCGATGTATTGGGCACTATGTAAAAGCGGATATTATTATTATTATTATTATACCTTTTGATCCACTAAAGAGCAGTTCTTCTGTGGCCTGGACCGATAAGACTGCTTTACTATGACCTTCAGCGGTGTATGAACACACCAGGGGGGCTCGGGGTGTCGTTGGTTTGTTGATCACAGGAATGATGGAACCCCTGGTGAAGACAAAAATAATTGATTTCGTTAAAAAAAAATACATTTCAAGGGTTTTGTGACACAAAGACGTAACTCTATATTTTGCAAATAAAATTGATATCAAAATGTTCAGAAAAATGTGGGCTTTCCAGGAAACACATAGGTTGAACTCCATCCAACACGCCATTGAAGTCAATGGCTAGTGAAACATAGACTTAAGTCCTTAAGGCCCAAGTGCTCAGTGACACATAGACCACTTTTTCTCAAAATGGCCAAAACGGAGTTACGTCTTTGTGTCACTGACACCTCGAAATGTCAAAATTTTAAATATTTAGAGCTATGCTTTAGTGTGAGAGCAATTTAGGTTTATACTGATTCACATGTATAGGCCACTTTGGAGCTATAGCACTCGTATAAATGACAACCAAATATCCACGGATCCTTAAAACATGGTGGAGTCTCACTTTGATCATTTTAGAATAATCACTGCCAAAGTGATGGTGGTGCATCATGAATACCTTTCGCTTGCCCTCTCGAGGGGAAAAAACTACCACCTGTGCATCAATGATTGATTGCAACAGTTTCATGAACACTTATCCAGCAGTTGTCTTGATAGGTTTTGCAGTTATGTACAAATGACCTTTATCTGCCCATGCACAGATAGTAGGGACTTTTAGATTTGCACAACGACAACGTGGATTGCTACGATCGACGTCTTTTTAATGCACTGCCTTTAATAGACGTCACACGTATCAGTCCACGCAAATCTAAAAGTCCCTAGTATCTCTGAAGTGGCCTAATATCATATGAATGTGCATGTGCCATTGGATGATCATTATCTTCACATCAGAGGGTGTTTGATCAGGTTGTTTTAGAAGCTTAGACTACATGCTTATGTTTCCTTTTGAGATGATGCAGGGGAGATAGTTTGGGATAGCCCTGAGAAACCATTACCAGTTCAAGTAGGAGAGGGGCTAAAAGACTAGGCAAGGATTTAAACCACTAACCTAGTAATTGAGTGTTGGGTGAATAAACCACTAAACCAGCGTAAGCAAAGCTCTACATTGGGCAACTTACCTGTCCTTTTGAGACTGTGCTGGGGAATTAGTTTGAGCCAATCTTGAGAAGACATTACCAGTTCTAGAAGGAGGGGGAGAACCAGGAGGGGTGTGGTCTGGGGTATGGTCCCTGAAAAAAGACAAAGAATTTCACCGATACATAAAGAGACACCAGGGGGGGGGGGGCGTTTCACAAAACTTGTCATCAGTGACAAATGACAGTTTTTGTTGTAAGCTACTGAAATCATTGCTTCTGATTGGTTATCAGCAGATTTTTCACTGATTTTTGTCATTTGTCATTGAAAAAAGGCTTTGTGAAACGGGTCCCATTTGACCTTTGTAGGGAGGAGAAAAGGCACAGGCATTGAGAGGGGTGTGGTACTTGATAATAGATAAGAGATAGAGAGATGAAGAGAAAAAGAAAAAGAGGGATGGAGAGTTTTTGAAAATGAGAAAAAAGTGAAAAAGAGGGAGGGTGTGTATATGTGGGAGGAGTTGAGAAAGAGAATAGAGAGGGTGGGAGTGTGTAGGGGTGTTACAAGAGAGGGTGGGTGTGTGGGGTTGGTGAAGGTAGACAAAAGGGTGGGTGTATAGGGGGTGTAACGAGAGAAGGTAGGTGTGTGTAAGGGTGTCACGAGAGAGGCTGAGTGTCTCGGGGGTGGTGTAGAGAAACAAAGAGTGGATGTGTGGGGTAGTGTTTAGGGGTGTTAAGAAAAGGCGGGTGTGTGGGGGTGGTGTAGAGAGACAAAGGGTTGGTGTGTGTGGGGTGTTACGAGTGAGGGATGAACATGTGTGGTGGGTGCCGAGAGACAGGGTGGGCTGGTGTGTGGGTGTTAGAAGAAAGGTAGGGTGTGTGGGGTTTGAGAGAGAGTGGGTGTGTATTTGGGATGTTGAGAGAGGGTGGGTGGGTGTGTGTGGGGATGTTATAAGAAAGGGTGGGTGTGTGGTGGGGGTGTTGAATCAGAGAGAAACATGATGTGTGGGGCGGATTTGATAGAGGATGGTGTGTGGGGGTGTTATGAGAGAGGGTGGGTGTATGTGGGGGATGTTATGAAAAAGAGGGTGGGCTTGTGTGGAGAGAGGGTGGGCATGAGTGGGGATGTTGAGAGAGGATGGGTGGGTGTGTGTGGGGATGTTGAGAAAGAGGGGGATGTGATTGTGGGAGTGTTGAATCAGAGAGAAACATAATGTAGGGTGCTGAGAGAAAGGGTGGATTTGTGGGGAGTTACAAGAGACAGTGGGTGTGTGTGGGGGGGGGGGGCTAAGAAAGGTTGGGTGTATGTGTGGGATGTTGAGAAAGAGGGGGATGCAATTGTGTGGGGGATGGGGGAGGTTGAAAGAGAGGGAGAGAGAGAAAGAGATAGACAGGGGTGATAGTGAGCACTAAAAAAAAAATAGGTTTTTTGTTTTCCCCTCAATTACACCCCCTTGAGAAAAAAAAAGAAGAGAGGATTCGCGGGGAAAAAATGGCATTTAACAACATTCCCCCCTTTCGAGAAAGAAAATTGGGAAAAAATAGGGAAAAAATAGGGAAAAATGGGGAAAAAATAGGGCAAAATAGGGAAGAATAGAGAAAATAAGAGGGATCGGGAAAATGAGGATAAAATAGGGAAGAAAAAAAACTTGGTAAAAAAAAAAAAAAAAAAAAAAAAAACTTGATTTTTTTTTTTTTTTTTTTTTTTTTTTTTTTTTTTTTTTAAATTGGGAAAAAAAAAAATCGGGAAAAATCGGGAAACCGATTTAAATCGGGTTTTTATCAGGCCTGGATAGAGAGAGGGGGGAAGTGGAGATTACTGATACACGAATACGTTGTTAAGGCCAAATGATATAAAGCCCTCATAGAAAATGATAAAGAGGAGTATATGGGCTTCCATATGTACCTGGAATACACCATGTACCTTAGAAAGAAAAAGAGATAATGGCAATGAAGCTGGATAGAATAAAAGACAGAGCATTCTCCTGGCTTTCAGAAGATATATACTGAAAAAAACGGCATGCTATGACAAGAAAGAATCTATGAGGAAGCATTATTCAAATTAGGAATATTTCTCACAAAAGTATGAAAACAATACTGCCCAAATTACCGCCATCCCTGTCACAACTGAAAACAAAAGAGTTATCTGGGATACGGTAAATGAAAAATTACCGACTGCTGATTATTACCCTAGTAAAAGCCACGTACAATTTACACCTTGGTCCCAAGGCTGTGATTTGACCCTCAATTCTTGATTGAGAGTTAACGGAATGAACCACCTTACCATGATATATCTGTAAAGCGCTTAGAGACATCTTTAATGTATTAAGCGCTGCATAAAAGTGGGATATTATTATGACACCTCCACCTTGAGCAATAGTTAAAAAAAACTTATTCTAAGAAAATACTTTCTATGAATGGAAAGCAGAATGCATGTAGAATACAAATATAAAGGATTACAAATTATTTTCCCTTTCATTATTGCACAAAAGCAAATTAACACCTCATTTTCTGCACCCCTTCAAATTTCAGGTCAACAGGGATCAAATTTGCCATAGTAAGAGTGATAACATAACATGTGGAACATAAGATGATGTCATTGAGTGAATGGTAATTTTTAGGTCAACAACTTATAATTTTCAAAGCTTTAGCTTTCGAGTTTTTCAGAGAGCTGTTACTTTTCTGACAGACACTAAAATATTATGCAATTGATATCATTGTAATATCCTGAATATAGATCTTTAAAACATGAAGGGGTCTCATTTTGAGAATCAAAATAATCACTTCTACAGCGATGGAGGTGCTACATAAATTGCATTTGTTTCCCCTTTTCAAAGAATACTTCCACCTGTGTATCAGGGAGTGTACTGCTGGTGCAATAAATAAATAATGATAACATATCTTTCATGAGCGCGTATCCATTATTTTGTCTCTGTGTATTTCACAACTTGGTCTGCAATGACCTTTATGTGCTCATGCTCAGACTGCAACTATGAACTGGCTTATTATATAAGCTTTCCTTTGAAATAGAATTATCTATTTCATTTTTTTAACTCTGACAGGGTCTTTAACCTTGCCCGTCAAAGACAGTCAACTTTTATATTAAAGAGAAGGTTGAGTTCTGGGAAGAGGTGAAAAATAATTTGTGAGCGTTATCATTCTTATTATGCAAGTGTGGAAGAACATCAGATAAGACATGTTCCCTGAAAAGCCTGGCTCTTCAAATGCCTTTATATTCTAAATATGTCATGTAACATAGTAAAACTCGGGGGTAGGATTTTTACGCCACGTATTCGGGTAGTCCCATATACATCTTTCTGTGTACAGTGTTTGTAACTTTACCAAGACTTGGCCAAATTTCTTATCATTTTGATGATTCCAGAACCTTGCAATACACACAAATTCTTATATGCTAGATGATCAACCTTTTCTGGTCGATTCCACACCGTTTCTTTCACAACGCAATCGCATGACCAGAACTCAACTTCATCTTTAACCCATGAAGTATTAATATTCCTTGATTCATACACCAATGCAATGTAGATGAATTACACCTGTCCAGTGATTTAATGCCCATCCTGATGACCCCATGGATGTTAAAAGGAAATTACATTACTGTTTTAATCTCCCTAATCTTGTCTTTGCCATAATCCTGTTGGAAGAGAAAGTAGGTGTTTAATAGAGAGACATAAGTGGTAAGAATGATGCCTTTTCATTTCCTAACCCTAGTCGCACTTCCAACCAATTTGGAACCAATTTACAACCAACAAGATTTATGCTTTAAATCTAATAATTTGTATATGGTCATATAACGTCGGTGGGGTGACAAAACCTCGTATCTCAAAAATCATGAATTTTCAGGAGAGTGAAAAAACTTTCCTGTCTCAACAAATTTAGTGCTGTGACACCGTCCTTTCTTTTTATAACTGGAATATTTATACAATTTGTAATGTCATTGTTGAAATACAGTAAAATAATTGTTTTTATATTTGAAAGTGAGTTACGACGTTTTTGCTTTTATCTCCATTGAGATACGAGTTTTTAGTTGTTATTCAAATTGAGATACGAGTTTTTAGTTGTTATTCAAATTCAGATACAAGTTCTTACTTTCAACTCTGAATGAATTACGAGGTTTTGGTTGAATAAGTTACGAGGATTTGAATGTATACACTAACTTCGGTACTGTTAGGCCGTGTGTGAGTTACGAGGAAAAGGAATTACGTATCTGATGTTACGAGGTTTTGTCAGTGCAGCTTCAAAGGGGGTTAAAGTTACGAGGTTCAGTTTAAGGGTGATTGTGTGGATTGTGAAAAACCGAGACAGGAGGCGTTCCATGGATTTATCAGGTGGTGTCGTAGGCCATCAGCTACAAAATTATGCAAACAAATCACAATCTCACAAAATTGAGATACAAGGTTTTGTCACCCCACCGACGATATGTATATATAAATATAGTTAACAAGTTATTTATTCATATTTCTGCCAAGTTTTGTAATAAGTAAATAATTGATTTCTCCAGATTTATGTTTCTTGAGAGCTTGACATATTAAAGTTTACATCTTAAAGTATCTGACAGAGGCCCCGATTCAACCAGTCCACCTTTCATTCTTGAGTTACGGAAAAAACACCAAAAGAAACATCAAATTTACAAGGGGTGTGAATAAATAGTTGTTAATTGTCATACCTACTGACGCTTAATTGTTGAGGAAGTTTTCTTTCTAGATGAGAAGACTAATTTTAAGCAAAAATCTCCTCTTCTACATCATTACCTGTGTCATACTATGCCAAAACATGGACCTATTATAGGATAAATATATGAATATGTATATATATATATATATTAATATATATTCCCATACCTATATGAATTAATTTGAATCGAATTGATTGAAATGGTTTATCAATAAAATGTTATCACGGTCAAAGGCCAAATCACTTTTCTTTTTAAAATATTGAAATACAAAATATAACACAACCATGACAATTAAAACATACACTGTAGGTACACAAACAATAATAGAAAACATATTAGTGAAATGATAGGAAGTTAACTAGTTATCTGGTGAGTATGTTAAATAATTAGAAATAAAGTTACACAATCATTGTCACTTACACAGAGCTGGGGTTAGAGAGGGCCTGTAGCTGTGTTATATTCTTTCTTCGAAGAGCAGGCGAAAGTTTCTCAAGTCTAGAAGAAAAGATTTGAAAGAACAGGGGGGTGTTTCACAAAACTTGTCATCAGTGACAAATGACAGTTTTTGTTATAAGCTACTGAAATCCTTGCTTCTGATTGGTTATCAGCAGATTTGTCACTGATTTTTGTCATTTGTCATTGAAAAAAAGCTTAGTGAAACGCCCCCCAGGGTGTTCCCATCTACCACTATGAACATGACGGACAAAGAAAGCGGACAAAATATACAGTTCCTCATTCTACCCTCAACAATTGCTGTGGCAGACAAAAGAACATCCCTTCACTGCTATTATGTAAAAATGTGTAGAATAGGTGAATATGCATGTGACACCTGTTCTACAGATTTTTACATAATAGCAGTGAAGGGATGTTCATTTGTCTACCATAGCAATTGTTGAGGGTAGCATGAGGAACTGTATATTTTGTCCGCTTTCTTTGTCCATCATATTCATAGTGTACGCTACTAACTAAACGTACCTTAACCCCTTCTGTGCAAACTAGCATTTTCTGTGAAAAATATATCACATCCACATGCACATAACAGTACACAGGACAAGCTGCTTCTAAAGGTACCTCACACAAACACTCAAGTAAATATTGGAGATTGCGCTTTTCGTTGCGCCGCTCCAAAGCTTTTGAATGACCTACCACTAGACGTAAGAAAAGCCTCATCTGTTGCTGTCTTCAAAATTTTGTTAAAAACGCACTTGTTTCTAGAAGTTTTTGAATCATTTTGTATTGTGTGTCTGTAAAGTAGCACTGTTAGGATTTTTGTATTTCAACACAGTGCAGTACCGTATGCTTATATAATTGCTGTGTTATATAAATTGATCTAATTATTATTTCTTTTTATCATCAGTGGGGTTTCAAAGTTATGTTTCATTGTTCAAGTATGCTTGAAATAACACTCAGTCTGATGAACATGTAAACTATTGACAAATATTTGCCACCTACATACAGCACAGGAGGGGTTAAACCTTGTTTAGAGTCAACATTAACATTAGAACTGCAATCTGGATTAATAGCACATTTATAAAATAAGATAATGTTGCAGTTACAACTTACTAGAAAGAAAGATTTTGGTTACAAAAATATACACAAGGATTAGACTTAATATTCAAGGGCAGAAGTTCTAAACGGATTACGATGACCATCCGCACCGATGTTAGTACTCTCCTACCATCTGCATGTCAGATTAGATGAAATGTTAGGTCTGGTGTCATTGAAAAAATACTTTGTCCTTCATTTGTGGAGTTTACTGCTGGTGAATTTTAAACACATTTTCAGCTTCAGATAATGCTAGATGAACTTTTTGTAAATTTGTATCAGTACAAGAGGTCAATGGGATTGTAAACCCACATCTCCTTTTAGAAGCGATCTCTGGGTTTATTTCATGATTACATGCTATTTATCTTTAGTCCTACCTGCCTTTAGTCTCTCTTTTGTAATTGGTACAGTCAAACCTGATTAAGTGACCACCTGTCTACAAAGACCACGTTTTTTGTTTCTTTTTATATGGTTTTTCATGGAAACATGTACTACAGGAACCTGTCTTCAAAGACCACCTTTTGTGTTTCCCATGGACGGTCGCTATAGACAGGTTTGACTGTAAATGAGCACTATCTCTAGAGAACAATGTTTCATAAGACTCTAAGACTATCGTGATCTAACCAAGGTATTATCTCTTGTCCGAACAGCATATCTAAGGCCATCAAAAAATATATACATGTTTAGCGTCCCCGCCCCCTTCCTTTTTGGGGGCCGCCTCCCTTTTTAAAAATTGTTGTATTATTTTTATTTTTTTAAAGAAAAAAAACATGAAAAACACTGCTAAAATGGATCTGTTTCTGATTCTGAAGAGAAAAAAAATGTCGGCGGCCATCTTGAAAAATAGCCCGACTGTCTGGGAAAATGTACCGAGCAGCCATTTTGAATATAAAAAAGAAAAGAAAAGGGCCTCCTCCTTCCTATTTTTCAAAAAGGCAGGACGCTAAACACGTTTACTTTTTTATTTGGCCTAATCAAGTTCTATCTAGAACATGTAGTCCTACCTTCCATCTTTTCTAATTGGTATATGACTTGAAGGAAACACCAGAGATGAGTCTACCGAGGCTGTATCCGTTGAGGATGATGTTTCATCAGACTCGATGACCACACCTACAGCAGGGTCGGGAGTGAAGTCCGCAGTGCCCTTGAATCCTAGGAGCTCTTCAGATGTAGCTGTCCGTCTTCGCGCCTGGTGGGAAATGAGGATCATCTTTGATACAAAGCTTTAGTTTTAAAATGTCAACTAATCGCATTACGTGGGAAGTTGTCTATAAGTTTAAATTGTTAAAATTTTAGAACCAGCTTGTCTTGGTACATGTTAGGGAAACAAAAAACATATTGGATAGTGCTCTAGTATGTACCTCACTTGATGCTTATCTCAAGAATTAGGGACTTCAGAAACAAAAATACTAAGTGTAAATTGTCCCAGCAGTTTTGCTGGTCTGATGTCACTACAATCTTGAGCCGATTTAACTTTTCCTCTTCCAAGCAATCATATGACTATTTAGGTCCTTGGTCATTAAAATTGAACATGTTTGATTGTTTATATCAAAAGCTATTGCAAATTTTTCCAAAATCAGATCGTAATCGGATCGTATAGTGTGCTGTGGGCTTCCGTTTCTAAATTCATATACATTGCTACCACTGTAGCTAAATGACGTTTAGCGGCACAAAAATATTTACTTTTAATAAATAAAAAAGTTAGTCCAACTCACCTTGTCTTTAGCCTTGGTCTGACTGGGTATGGGAATAGCTGAGACAGAGTTTGCTGGTCCTATGTGTGGTAGTGTGGTGTGATCAGGCACATTCACTGCTAATGCATTCAAGGCACTGAACAGGGAGCAGCCAAATCCCATTGAGTTGCAACCATGGATATAATTGAAGGCAGTCAAGTGTGATGCCATGCACGCCGCCATTATTAAAGATAAAAAATAAAGATAAAAAAGAAAAAATAGGCAGATATGAGGTTAATGATACAATGTCAAGCAAAACTAATTAAAAGTATTTCTACTACGGGCAAACTAAATGGATATGTGTGCATTGATGTGATTAAAATATCTTTAGCTACATCAGTCTCAACCATTGCATATTTAAGCAAATGCACAGGTTTTATGATAGGTATAGTTCATATATATAGAAATGCAGTGCACAGTCAATTGGGATCAAACACAAACAAGATGTGTGCCTTGCGACACAAATTTTCAATTCATTTATAGCTGTGTCCAAAGCGATTCTAATCTCCTACTTTTTCTCTCTCTGTCTCTGTCTATGGCTCTCTCTATCTCTCTATCTGTTCCTCTATGCCTGTGTGTGTGGGTGCGTCTGTGTGTGTCTCTCTCCGTCTCTCTTCCCCCCCCCCTCTCTCTCTCTCTCTTTCTCTATCTTGTTGTCTTTATCTTTCTATCTGTTCCTCTATGCCTGTGTGTGTGGGTGCGTCTGTGTGTGTCTCTCTCCGTCTCTCTTCCCCCCCCCCCCTCCCTCCCTCTCTCTCTCTCTATCTCGCTGTCTTTATCTTTGTATCTGTTCCTCTCTGCCTGTGTGTGTCTCTCTGTCTCTGTCTCTTCCTTGTTCTCTTCCTTTTACTTTTCCTTCTTCTAATTGCCACTTCTTTCACATACGATCCACAGTATCACTTTCATACGATCGGTATAATACAGCCAAGACAGCATGTAGATTATGCTATGATGCCATGGTGATGTTAGTACATAAACCCTCCCACCAAAGTTTGGAAACTCAAGTATGATCAATTGTATCTCTCTTGTCATGGCATACTGTATATTCAACGCTTTGTTTAGTATCATTAGAAAGTGGGTGAAGAGAGGATCCAAGTAAATATCTGACTAGAATCCAACACACACGCTTTACAATGTTTGATCGGAATTGCAATATCTAGAGATTTAATTAGTTATAAAAACTGCAGCATATAAAATCTTGACTTTCAAAAGTCTCATATATAAACAAAAGTAATTCTTGGAGATTGCGCTTTCATTTGTGCTACTCCAAAGCTTTGGAATAACATTCCACTAAGTATACATAGGAAAAGCCTTATCTGTTGCTATCATCGCAGTTCATGGCGTGTCTGTAAAGTAGCACTGTTAGGAGTTCTGTTTTCTTCGTAGTGCAGTACAGTATATTTATACAGTTGCTTTACTGTTAGGAGTTCTGTTTTCTTCGTAGTGCAGTACAGTATATTTATACAGTTGCTTTACTGTTAGGAGTTCTGTTTTCTTCGTAGTGCAGTACAGTATATTTATACAGTTGCTTTACTGTTAGGAGTTCTGTTTTCTTCGTAGTGCAGTACAGTATATTTATACAGTTGCTTTACTTTATAAATCTGCATATTGTATATTTTATATCTAATTATCATTATTATTCATGCGTCTTAGTAAACAACAAAATGAGTTATAAGTCAAACTTAAAGATCTGATTAAACACAGACTCATTTTTCCAGCTTGAGTGTTTCTTGATATGACAAGAAGGATAGTAAGATACATTGAACATCAAATGAAATCCTTATCTCATTAAAAGTTTGTTATGCATGTACATTAAATTGCACAATATCTGTAAAACCACCTTGAAAAAGATCTTCATACATCTATCTTTCTTGTTACATGTACATGTTTGAAATGCTTTGCAATTTTTGTTTCTTAATAGATGTAACATCAATAGAGCAGGAGCCAACCAATTTGATTGGCCTATTTTGGATTCTCCTTACAGGGACCACTGGTATGACCAGGGGAGTCTTTCACAAAGACTAAGATCAACTTTAAGTTGGATTTAACTATGGCAGGCTGTTCATGCCACTGTCTGCTCTCACCATTTACTGGCATTGGTCTCTCAAAAGGACGTACAAATCACGGTCATAAATCTACAGAATTTACATTAGTTGATATTTCATAATGGAAGGAAAAAATATCTAAAGATCATAATGGTGAGAGCAAACAGTGGCATGTACGGCCTGCCATAGTTAAGTCCAACTTAAAGATGATCTTCATTTTTGTGAAACACTTCTGAGCTGTCAACAATAACCTGTTGATACCTCAAGTCTAAAATTAGTGCTGGGCTGGGATTTGAACCCTGAACCTTGTGATCTACAGTCCGGTGACTTACCCACCTTACCACACCACCTCTATAAGAAATCTAACTCTACATATCTAAATCATATCTTACACTTGTATGTATATCTATCTATTCATCTATCTTTCTACATAATAAGATTCATCAATCTAGCATCGCATCTTGCTATACATGTGCATGTTTATTTACATATAAACATCTATCAATGTAAATTTGCAGAATGATTCTATTCTGTCTGACAGATTTATTTCCATTCAAGGTTTTGATCAATAAATTGCCCTATCTAGACATATTAATCTATAGACCTACATGTAGTTATATGTAGTTAAATCTCTATATAACTGCATGAAGTTAAATTAAAGGTTTGTTCAGATATGGGGTCGTAAACTGCCGCAAAAAAACATGTTTTTATCATGCAAAATTAATGGCATCAAAGAACAACAAAAGGACACATTCACCAACCTCTGTAATATAAGATTTAGAAATATGAGGCGTATTACACTTTACGCTGCAAATCCAGTGAGATTTTGCGCGTAATATCTGAACGAGTCTCTTATAGTGACAGTTTCTACTGTATGTGAGTACTTGTCTTGTTCAATATCAACATATGCATGTACATGCATCTTTCCTAGCAAAACCAGAACAAGCATAAAAATAGACATTAAATGGCTTATATTTAGCACAGGGCTCGAATTATCCGTCACAAACCTTTTAATTTATACCATAATTCAATAATTGTAAAGATGGTTAAGAGGGTTTTTGTATAAATTTAAAAGTAGTTTCAATAATTAAATTGCTTTCAATGGATTAATTCAAAGATATATTACCACATTTAATTTTACCTTCATTTTCCCCTAATACCATTTTGATTAAATTCACCACCATTAATAACTGAAATCAACTTTACTATCAATGGAAAATAATGATATTTATGTCTTTTGGAGTAGAAAGGAGAGCTTATATTAGTATTGTTTATCTAGAAAGCTGCATTTTTCCTTGGTCATTTTTTCTTGGTCATTTTTTCTTCTTCTTCTGTTTAGCTCTCTTTACAATATCCTGACAGAGTTCATACACAAATACAACGAGAGCAACAAAACATGCAATGCCAAATAAAACTGGTCTACTAGTTATGAATATTCATGAAATGGGCATGGTCAACATAAAACAGAACCAATCAGATGAGTGTAATCAAATTATTCATCAAAAGAAAGAGAAGAGGGAAACCAGGATAGATGATAATGACAGTAATAAAATGTTAGGTTTCTTGTTTTATTTCTTTACTCTGGGTATCCTCATGAGAATTGATAGAGATAAACTATGGCATTTCGCTACAATATATTAAAGGTAAGCTTGAGTTCTGGTAATGATAGAAAATAAATTCACACAGAATCCAACAAAACTTACACTGAATATTCAAGATTGGAAAAAAATGACAATAATTTTGGTATAAAGTGTACAGAAGCTGATTGATGAGCACAGACAGATAAGGAAATCTAGGTAAGTAGGCCCGACACCATGTGCTTAACACAAGTCACTATGAGCAAATGAGAGTTGTGGTTTTTATAGAAGCTGATTTCCAGCAAGTTCTTGTGTTGTTTTACTGGTTCAACCAATCAGTCTACTGCAGGATGAACCATCCAGAATGAAATTATAGCCAGCCATGTTCTCTCGACATGCGATGCCCATACCAGAGCTCGAAATTAGCTTTAGGTTTTTATTCTAATAGATGTATATATCCTAATAGTAAGACCATGTTTAAATACATGTTACCCAATTGCCAAAGGGTTTCAGAGGTGGCTTCACGCCTCATACCCTAATCACACTAATGAGACACACCCTAGACTGACAGTATACCAAACAAAATTACTTTCCACTGAATAACCAAGAATCGCTCAGTTTAGAATCGGTTCAGTCAGTAAGACTGTGTATGATTGCGGTACCACACCGCCCAACGAGACAGACATTTTGCACCGAATGGCTACAGAGAGGTCAGAATGGAGTCCATTTAGAGATATAAGCAATTACCATGTTAGCGAAGGCCTCTACTCAATATAACAGGACATGGAGGACGAGAAGGCTTCAAGCAGTTCAAGAAAACAACATTCTGAGATACTTGCACGATATTTAGGCGAAGGAGTTTCACACTTCAATAATTATTTAAGTTTGTGTTTTACACACTAAAGAGCCACCATATCAAATCATCTATCAGAATTCCACAATGGAGTTTCAAATGGGATAGATTTAGGGTTAGGATTAGGCAGATACGCTCAAAGCAGCCATAGCCAATTATGTTTGGATGTGAAGCAAATTACAAGAGACTGATTGCTTTCTTTTGGGGCCAATGAGATTCCATGATTTCCCCTGATCTAAGCAATTTTCTTGACTTCCTGGACTTTCCACATACAGAGAAAAAAGTGATTATCCACGGAACCCTGTAATAAATTATTTTTTAAGTTATCCTGAAATCTTACCTAATATCAACTGGAGAGGGAGCCCTTGAGCTGTTGCTGCTGCTCTCGCTATCTGTAATGACATGAAATTCAGAGAGAGGGTAAAAGGTCAACACAGATGGTGATTTAAAAACAAATTATAAAATAACAAGTTGAGGGTTCAGTGACACGAAGACTAACTCCATATTTTGCCAAAATGGGTATTTGATATCAAAATGTTCAGAAAAATGTAGGCTTTCCAGGAAACACAAGAACTGAACTCCACCCAACACCCAATTGAAGTCAATGGCATGTGAAACATAGACTTAACTCCTTAGGCCCAAGTGCTCAGTGACACATAAACCAATTTTTCTCAAAATGACCAAAATGGAGTTATCGTAATTCTCCGTCTATAAGACACACTTTTTTTTTTCTTTTTTTTAAGTGTCGATTTATGCCCCCATCCACCTGCACTGTGCCTGGCAATGTCTCCCAGCTCAGTCATACAAGGTGTGTCGACTAACCCTCGCACCGTCATAGTAAGATACTATAGGAAGTTATTTGAAATGGCACAGTAAAACTGTACTAGATTATATAATCTGTAATCCGGGTTACAAAGACGCAACAGGAATGTACTCTCACTATTTGTCACCTAGGTTATAGTGATGGCAGGGCATCGATCTGTAGGATTGAACTACAACAACACTACCTGTATGGCAGGATTTCTGTTTGGACTTAAAGGTAAATTTGTCTATCATCTTTAGTTTTAAAAATGACGTTGTTACTATTATTTGTGACAAGTTCACAAGAAAAAATTGGCGCCTTCAACTGCACCTCGCAGGAATATAAAGGTCCTTCCAGAGTTGTTTTTGAACACTGATCTGGCTTGCTGCCTACGGAGTCGACAAAAACAAAACCAAAAAAAATGGGGGGTTTTTTTTGCCGCCAAAATAGGGTAGGTCTTATGCACAGAGATTTACGGTAAGTCTTTGTGTCTTTGACCCCTCAAAGTGTGTAATTCTGAAAAAGTATGTGGAGAAAGAAGAAAGGGATGAAGAAATCTTCTTTTTATAGGATAATTCTGAAAATATCTGACATTCATTTACCGGTTATTGATATTTCTTTCAATGTACTGCCCTGGCTTAAAGGTAATTCTTCTCTTTTTGGTTTTACAAAGTCTGTATATACATCCATGTGTCCTCATTATCTAAATGATTTTATCCTTGCTCGTTTTTTCATTTAAAAAAAAAAAAAAGTTAGTACCGGTGTGGGAGGCTTCTTACCTAGGTTAGGATTACTGAAGAGACCATCTAGGTCTAAGTCTTCCCCTTCTCTTTCTTTCATCATGTGTTGAAGCAATGTCTGTTGAACAAAGCTGTTCTGTTCTTCTTGATGTAGCTTGGCTTCAAGCTCTTTGACTTGAGATTCCTTCTGCGCAGCACTCAGCCCCTGAAATAAGAAGGAAGGAAAGATTCATTAACTATTCAATCTGTTATGTGCTGGAGCTATGTCTGTTCTGTACTACATGATGAAGATTGGCTTCTAACTCTTTGACTTGAGATTCCTTCTGCGCAGCACTCAGCCCCTGAAATAAGAAGGAAAGAAAGATTCATTAACTATTCAATCTGTTATGTGCTGGAGCTATGTCTGTTCTGTACTACATGATGAAGATTGGCTTCAAGCTCTTTGACTTGAGATTCCTTCTGCGCAGCACTCAGCCCCTGAAATAAGAAGGAAAGAAAGATTCATTAACTATTCAATCTGTTATGTGCTGGAGCTATGTCTGTTCTGTACTTCATGATGAAGATTGGCTTCTAACTCTTTGACTTGAGATTCCTTCTGTGCAGCACTTCATCCCTGGAATGAAAATGATTGCAAGACAATGATGATATATTCAGCCATGCAATCACCAGTAAGCAAGAACATTATGCTCTTAAATATTCAAAATATGAGCTTTACATAGTACTTGTAATCTCACAGATTGTCAATTTAAGTTCAGGCATGCGTACCTTCTGTCCTTAAAACGGCACACATTCTTCCTTTACTGAAGAAACCCAATCTTGATTCTGAATTACTAAGTAATTACCGTCCAGTTTCTAATCTCCCGTTTTTGTTTAAAATACTTGAGAGGGCGGTGTTCTCTAGATTAAATGATTACTGTCTCGATAATGACCTCCTTGACCCATTTCAATCTGCATACCGTCCCCACCACAGTGTAGAAACCCTCCTTGTTAATGTATCCAACTTTATACTCCAGGAGATGGATGGCGGAAAAGTAACTGCTATGATACTCCTCGATTGGTCTTCCGCCTTTGACACTGTTAACCACACTGTTCTGGTGAATACCCTCATGTCACTATGTATTAAAGGTCAAGCCCTGGAATGGTTTATATCATACCTGTCATGCCATTCTCAAGCTTTCAGATTTTGTACCACTTACATGCCGAGTTTCGCAAGGCTCTGTGGGCGGGCCCACACTGTTTTTGTTATATTTAACGGATTTGAAGAATATTTTTCATCACCATTCTCTCTCTTATCATGTTTATGCTGATGATATTCAAATATATACTTCTTTCAAACCCAATCAGAGCAATGCAGCCAGCGCTACCCATAACATTGAGACTTGTGTACAAGATGTTCATAATTGGTTAAACTCACATTCACTTAAATTAAATCTCGCCAAATGCAAATTTTTAATGTATGGTTCCAAGACTCAGTTAGAGAAGATTTCCATCACTTCAATTACTCTTGCTGGACTTGAAATTACCCTATCTAATGTATGTCGCAACCTTGGTGTGTTTCTCGACTCAAACATGACAATGTCTACACAAATTCAATATGTCTCAAAATCAGTACGTTATCAGTTACGCAATTTGGGTTTTATTCTTAAAATATCTTAACCGTAGTGCCACTGAGAAAATTACTCATGCTTTAATTTCTTCTCGCTTGGATTTTGGTAATGGTCTTTTGTTTAGTTCGCCTCACAACCTACTCGCAAAATTACAAGGATTACAGAATGCTGCTGCTCGTGTCATGACCCTGTCCAACAAGTACAGTCACATCACACCAGTCCTCAAATCACTCCATTGGTTGCCCGTAGAAAAACGTGTTGTTTTCAAAATTATTTTGCTATTATTTCACTGTATACATGGCTCTGCTCCGCAGTATAACATCGGCTTGATTAAGCATTACTTTCCTTCTAGACAGCTACGTTCTCAAAACTCTAGCTAACTTGTTACTCCTAGGGTTAAAACAAAGTGGGGGGAGCGAACCTTCGCTCATGCTGGGCCTTCATTATGGAATACTCTCCCTCAATGGATTAAGAATAGCAGTTCTGCTGAAGTGTTAAAAAACAATCTTAAGAAATATCTCTTTAATTTAGCTTATAATTGAGTACCATAACCTTTCATGTCTGTACCTTTCCTATCGCACTTTGTATAAATGTATCATGTATGTATTTCATCTCTTGCGCAAGCTGCGCCTTGAGCATTTGACTGTCAAGTGGATTTGGCGCCTTATAAATCATATGTATTATTATTATTATTATTACTTCAACAGAGAATAACAGCACTTGAATACACTCAAGTAGATATGACTTGTTGAGTAGACTATTCAACACACATGTTTGTGCTTTCATAAAATAGGGTATGCACGGAACCCACGTTCCACTGGAATTCTGTGCACATGGTTTTATGTTGCCCCTTACTTGATGCATACTCTGTAACCTATAGAATAACATGCAAAGTTGTTAAAGGTTTATTTTATGAATTACAACGAAACACATTTTTTTTTCTCCAGGTGATTGGTACATTTTTAAAGATTTTAAAGGTAAACCAATTCAATAATATACAGCCAAACGTACATCCACATGCACATGTAAACAATGGAGGTGTGATGAATGCTTCAAATACTAACCTTGTTAATCGCCAAGTTGATGAAATGCTCCAGCATGTATTTAGCCTCTCTCAAGGAGCATTGTTCAATTACTGCAGCAGCATCAACAGCATCTATCTCCTCCTGTAAGAAACAAAGCATGCAAAAGGATGGTATAAGTCTAATCTTCACTCATGTTGGCAGGTCCTGTCAAGCTATTTGCTCATTGAAAACAGTCACATGCAAACTCTTAAGTCTGTATTCATGTAATTGCGTTTAATTAATAGTCCAGATTTAATCTCCGAGGCTAAATTGAGTTCAACATGTTATAAAAGTATACCATGATTATGATTCTACATATCATAACATCACTTTAGTTGCTTCGATAAACTAAGATAAGGGGGATCTAAATGAGTCCACTTTTCTTTATGTAAGTCTTTAACTATATGCAATCGTTTAAAATAAACCAGGCCAGCATATTACATAAGAGGATACCATCCAAATGACAATGTATTTCATTGGACTAAAACATCAAATATTTGTTAAGATAAAGCAGTTGATAAATGCATGCATCATTGACACACATCTAATATACAGTGATTCTTAAGAGCAAATCTAGATTCTGTGTATTTGTATACAAATTATTGAAACCAAAACAATAGACTGTGGAACATATAAACCAAAAAAAAACTGTAGAAGAACGCTACATAACAGCAGAAAGTTTACAAATATACATTATTGCACTAATATTGGCAAGTAAAAACAACATCAAGCTAAAAGTATAAATACAGAACATAGCTATTTCTCACATCCACTTAAAAAGCACATCAAAATAGCTAGACATTTGTAGTTTTTACTGATTCTCACATAAATAATTTGATTACTAATGAGAAAACGTATATCACAGTTTTGGGAAGGAGGGTAGATTAAATCATAAACAAATGGCTAACAAAAGCTGGGACAACTTTAATGCATTTCACTGATACAAAAAAGAAAGACGCCTGCATACAGAATAAACACGATACACAACTTGTCTATATACATGTATATATATAAACATACCCATTGACCATCCTAAGTGAATAAGATGGATTAAAGAAGTATTTAGGAGAAAAGTTTTATCAAATTCATGTACATTTCATTATTATTCAGTTTCAGTTCTAATAAATATTCAATATTCAACATGAATAACATGTTTATATCATATAAATAGGCTATTAGAAATTTGAACGAGAAAGTGTCTATCATGATTCCTCAACTATCAATATCTGCACCTTCTCCTTTCTCCCTCTCTTGGTTTCTCCTTACCCTCTAATCCACACCCTGACCCCCCCCCCCTCTCTCTCTCTCTCTCTCCCTACCCTACTGTATCTATCTTACTTTCTCTTTCTTTCACTCTTTCTCTCAATCCCCTTCTCTCTCTCTCTCTCTTTCTCTCTTCCCCTTTCCCTCAATCCACATATATATCACTATATCCATCTATCTATTCATCTATCTATCTTACCTTTCCTTCCATAACTTCCATGATACCGCTCTGACATTCTGTGATCTGTTCCTGGACGTACTCATTGTTGTCATTCAACCGTCTATCTATTCATCAACATCCCTCTCTCCCTCCCTTCCTCTCTCCCTCTCTCTCTCTCTCTCTCCCTCTCTCATCTACCCATCTATCTATCTTACCTTTCCCTCCATAACCTCCATGATACCGCTCTGACATTCTGTGATCTGTTCCTGGACGTACTCCATGTTGTCATTCAGCCCGTCTATCTGTTCATCCAAGTCCTTCTGCACACTGGGATCCTTGTTGCCTGCCTTCAGGGCTTCGTCTCGTTTGGTCAGGTACTTCTCAACCTTCTTACTCAGTTTGTGCCTGTGATGGATGAACCGCTCCATGTCTCTCTCCATGTAGGAGATGGTCTGCCGTCTAGCGATGATGTCCGTGATCTTAACAGAAACAAAACAGAAGAGATTAGGAGATGGTCTGCCGTCTACATGTAGCAATGATGTCAGTGATCTTAAACAGAAAACAAAAATTGATAGAAAACAAAACGGAACAGAAATTTACTAATTAAAAGGCAGAAAAATGGCGAGAAAGAGTGAAAAAGTCAGAATTTTAACCACAGTGACTTAGCTGAACCTCCCAAGATGGCTGCGAAAAAGAGAGAGGAAGATTGCATGCGCGCGTAGTGCGTACGAGACTAAGGGTATAGCGGTGTCCTAGGTGTTGGGTAAGCACAATTGTGACTTTTTTTCTCTCAATAGCTTGCTTGTCTGGAGGACTAAGCAATAATAGATAGATACATAGATTTATTGTGGTAAATAAAACGGAAGAGATTACAGTACATACTGGCTGAGTTACCTTTTTTTAGATTTTTCTACATCGCTGATAGATTCTTAACTTCAACACTCTGTGGTTATGGTTATGTTTTGACAATGGAGGTTTTTTTTAATGAATATTCATGTCTTAGATGAATATTCATTATATTCTACCTTCTATCTATCACATACCTTCCTTTCCATCTTATTCCATTTCTGTCTGGCCGTCTTGGATGAATATTCACTTGTTCCTTTCCTCTCATGCTTCGAAGGTCGACCAGTGTCTACCTTTGCCTTGCCTCTCCTACTCAGTACCCTTTGACCGGTCTCTGCCGGGGCCGTAGAGGGGGCCGTAGAGGGCTTCTTGACCGGTCTGGACAGTCGACCTGCGACCTTGTCCGACATCGGCTTCTGATTCTTGCGTAGCATTTCAAGCTGGTATGACAGCAGAGAAAAGAAACAGGGTCAAAGATAGTCCTGATTGGCCTAAACTCTCCTCTCCCTCTCTCTTTCACTTCTCTTTCTCTTCTCTCTCTTTCTCTTTCTCTTCTCTCTAAAAAAAAGGTGCTCAATTCTAAAAACGGGGGCATATTTTTAAAAAAAGTGCACACTACATACACTTTGGGGCCCAGTTCACACATTTTTTGGCGCACAGTACATTGAAATATCTCTCTCCCTCCCTCCCTCCCTCCGACCCTCCCTCTCTCCCTCCCTCCCTCTCTCTCTCCCTCTCCCCTTCTCCCTCTCTCCACTCTTCTCTCTCACATTCTCTCTTACCTGTTCATGTTTTCTCTTGAGTATCAGTTCTCTTTGTTTAGCCGATGCTTCAAGAGTTTTAATCTGAGTTTCTTTCTTCCTTGATTCCTTCTTTAGTCTCTGTATCTCTCTGCTTGAGAGTTGATCTTTGTTTCTACCTTTCTGCTGCTCCTCTCTAATCTGTTTCATCAGCTTCACCTAGTAGGAAATAACAAAATAAAATGGAAAAACTGGCCAATGAGTCTTCTATTCCTAAAATAAAAAATCAGTCCCACAAACACAAACCTCGTCATATCTGAACAAGCCTTGAGATTAAATTTTGGTTCTTCCAATGTTGGAATAAATACTGCCCAAGAACGTATCTTTGGGTGTTATTCTTTTGATCAATGTTGCAAACAGACCAAGTTCTTATCTTAGTATCCTTTTATCTTTAAGAATTTGCACTTGAGATTGAAACCTTTCTTCTATCTCCCAAACTGTAAGAAACTCTTCAAGATCTTGTTGTGTTCGTTCTTCGCTTTTGTGAGTCCGGCTTTCTCTTTGGAGTTTTCTTGCACTTGAGTTTAATTTCAGACCCTAGTACCTAAACTTGAGGGTTCTTTCAATCGGTATACCACAGGGAAACAGTTCTTACCTTAGTTTCTTTCATTTTAAAGACCTCATCTTTCAGTCCTTTCATCTGTCTCTCAAACTGTGACTTGCTCTTTAAGATCTTGTTGTGTTCCTTCTGCACTTTGGTGAGTCTGTCTTTCTCCTCTGAAAGTTTCTTGAGCTTGATCTCGAATTCCTTACGGATCTTCTCAGCTTTGTCCTTCGTTCTTGATTCAGCCATTGATCCTAAGGGTCATGGGAGAAAGGTCAAAGTATGCAAGGTTTTTAAAAATTCAATGTCTCTCTCTCTCTCTCTCTCTCCCTCTGTGTCTGTATAACTGTGTCCATCTGTCTCTCTCTCTCTCTCCCTCTCTCTCTTCAATCATCATAAAGTATCATAAACTTACCCAGATTATCTAAGACCTTATCTCTCTCGCTCTCTGTCTCTTTGATCTTATCGAGTAGATAGCCTAGCTTCTCTTCGTATTGCATCTTCATTGTGTGGAGTCTCTTCGGACTATGGTCTCTCTCTCTCTCTCTCTGTCTCTGTCTCTGTCTCTCTGTCTCTCTCTCTCTTTCAAGAATCATAAACTTACCCAGATTATCTAAGACCTTATCTCTCTCGCTCTCTGTCTCTTTGATCTTATCGAGTAGAGAGCCTAGCTTCTCTTCGTATTGCATCTTCATTGTGTGGAGTCTCTTCTGACTATGCTCTCTCTCTCTCTGTCTCTGTCTCTGTCTCTCTCTCTCCGTCTCTCTCTCTCTTTCAAGCATCATAAACTTACCCAGATTATCTAAGACCTTATCTCTCTCGCTCTCTGTCTCTTTGATCTTATCGAGTAGAGAGCCTAGCTTCTCTTCGTATTGCATCTTCATTGTGTGGAGTCTCTTCTGACTATGCTCTCTCTCTCTCTGTCTCTGTCTCTGTCTCTCTCTCTCCGTCTCTCTCTCTCTTTCAAGCATCATAAACTTACCCAGATTATCTAAGACCTTATCTCTCTCGCTCTCTGTCTCTTTGATCTTATCGAGTAGAGAGCCTAGCTTCTCTTCGTATTGCATCTTCATTGTGTGGAGTCTCTTCTGACTATGCTCTCTCTCTCTCTGTCTCTGTCTCTGTCTCTCTCTCTCCGTCTCTCTCTCTCTTTCAAGCATCATAAACTTACCCAGATTATCTAAGACCTTATCTCTCTCGCTCTCTGTCTCTTTGATCTTATCGAGTAGAGAGCCTAGCTTCTCTTCGTATTGCATCTTCATTGTGTGGAGTCTCTTCTGACTATGCTCTCTCTCTCTCTGTCTCTGTCTCTGTCTCTCTCTCTCCGTCTCTCTCTCTCTTTCAAGCATCATAAACTTACCCAGATTATCTAAGACCTTATCTCTCTCGCTCTCTGTCTCTTTGATCTTATCGAGTAGAGAGCCTAGCTTCTCTTCGTATTGCATCTTCATAGTGTGGAGTCTCTTCTGACTATGCTCTCTCTCTCTCTGTCTCTGTCTCTGTCTCTCTCTCTCCGTCTCTCTCTCTCTTTCAAGCATCATAAACTTACCCAGATTATCTAAGACCTTATCTCTCTCGCTCTCTGTCTCTTTGATCTTATCGAGTAGAGAGCCTAGCTTCTCTTCGTATTGCATCTTCATAGTGTGGAGTCTCTTCTGACTATGCTCTCTCTCTCTCTGTCTCTGTCTCTGTCTCTCTCTCTCCGTCTCTCTCTCTCTTTCAAGCATCATAAACTTACCCAGATTATCTAAGACCTTATCTCTCTCGCTCTCTGTCTCTTTGATCTTATCGAGTAGAGAGCCTAGCTTCTCTTCGTATTGCATCTTCATAGTGTGGAGTCTCTTCTGACTATGCTCTCTCTCTCTCTGTCTCTGTCTCTGTCTCTCTCTCTCCGTCTCTCTCTCTCTTTCAAGCATCATAAACTTACCCAGATTATCTAAGACCTTATCTCTCTCGCTCTCTGTCTCTTTGATCTTATCGAGTAGAGAGCCTAGCTTCTCTTCGTATTGCATCTTCATTGTGTGGAGTCTCTTCTGACTATGCTCTCTCTCTCTCTGTCTCTGTCTCTGTCTCTCTCTCTCCGTCTCTCTCTCTCTTTCAAGCATCATAAACTTACCCAGATTATCTAAGACCTTATCTCTCTCGCTCTCTGTCTCTTTGATCTTATCGAGTAGAGAGCCTAGCTTCTCTTCGTATTGCATCTTCATTGTGTGGAGTCTCTTCTGACTATGCTCTCTCTCTCTCTGTCTCTGTCTCTGTCTCTCTCTCTCCGTCTCTCTCTCTCTTTCAAGCATCATAAACTTACCCAGATTATCTAAGACCTTATCTCTCTCGCTCTCTGTCTCTTTGATCTTATCGAGTAGAGAGCCTAGCTTCTCTTCGTATTGCATCTTCATAGTGTGGAGTCTCTTCTGACTATGCTCTCTCTCTCTCTGTCTCTGTCTCTGTCTCTCTCTCTCCGTCTCTCTCTCTCTTTCAAGCATCATAAACTTACCCAGATTATCTAAGACCTTATCTCTCTCGCTCTCTGTCTCTTTGATCTTATCGAGTAGAGAGCCTAGCTTCTCTTCGTATTGCATCTTCATTGTGTGGAGTCTCTTCTGACTATGCTCTCTCTCTCTCTGTCTCTGTCTCTGTCTCTCTCTCTCCGTCTCTCTCTCTCTTTCAAGCATCATAAACTTACCCAGATTATCTAAGACCTTATCTCTCTCGCTCTCTGTCTCTTTGATCTTATCGAGTAGAGAGCCTAGCTTCTCTTCGTATTGCATCTTCATAGTGTGGAGTCTCTTCTGACTATGCTCAAGCTCCTCAATGAGTCTCTGTTTGATGGTGATCTCACACGCTAGCTCAGCTAGATTCTCCTGCAGCTGAGCATTCTCTGATGAGTCAAACGAGATGAGCAATGAAATTAAATTTCAATAATAATAATAATATTCTGCTTTTATATGGTTCCTAAAGATGTAGTTGAGTTCTGGTCATGCGATTGGATTGTGAAAGACACGGTGTGGAATCGATCAGAAAAGGTTATCATCTAGCATGTATGTATTGGTGTGTACTGCAAGGTTCTGGAATCATCAAAATGATAAGAAGTTTGGCCCAGTCTTGGTGTAAAGTTACAAGCAATGTACACAGAAATATGTATATGGGACTACACGAACATGTGGCATAAAAATCTGTCCAGATTTTTATGATGTTACATGCTTTATTTAGAATATTAAGGCATTTGAAGAGCCATGCTTTTGATTTTCCCACCTCCATACCTTGTGAAGCGCTGTGAAACCTAATGTGTGACAGCACTATATAAATGAACATAATATTATTATGATATTACACTAACCTTCTTCGTCTGATTCTGAATCACTGCTACTACTGGAGTCCTTATCATCATCATCTTCATCATCAGCATCCTCTTCTTCCTTCTCCTCTTCATCCTCTTCTCCCCGCTCCTCTTTCGTTCCCTCCGTCTCGTGGTCTTGCACAGATTCATGGCTCTCGTCCGTCACCTCCTCACACGACTCCATGTCCTTCTCACTGCCTCTGTTACGGTGGAAAAAACAACAATGGATGTTTTTAAACCTTCAAAATGTCAGGTTGTTTTGGTGCTTTTTTTAGTTGGAGGGGGCAGATTCCATTCTCTCCCCCCCCCCCCCCAAAAAAAAATAAACAAGTTTGGAGTTTAAATCTCCAGTGGTTCTTGAGATATCATGATAACAATCTCAATGTATGGAATTTCATAAGTTGACCTCTGTGACCCTTGACCTTTGACCTACGTGCTCCAAAATCTAATCAGATTGTCTTCCTATGGTGATACACACTATCATTAAGTTTGAAGTTTAAATCTCCAGTGGTTCTTGAGATATTATGATATGGTGATACATACTATCATTAAGTTTGAAGTGAAAATTCTCCAGTGGTTCTTGAGATATCGCGATAACGATCTCAATGTATGGAATTTCATAAGTTGACCTCTGTGACCCTTGACCTTTGACCTACGTGCTCCAAAATCTAATCAGATTGTCTTCCTATGGTGATACACACTATCATTAAGTTTGAAGTTTAAATCTCCAGTGGTTCTTGAGATATTATGATAACAATCTCAATGTATGGAATTTCATAAGTTGACCTCTGTGACCCTTGACCTTTGACCTACGTGCTCCAAAATCTAATCAGATCGTCTTCCTATGGTGATACATACTATCCTTAAGTTTGAAGTTTTTACATCTCCAGTGGTTCTTGAGATATCATGATAACAATCTCAATGTATGGAATTTCATAAGTTGACCTCTATGACCCTTGACCTTTGACCTACGTGCTCCAAAATGTAATCAGATTGTTTTCCTATAGTGATACACACTATCACTAAGTTTTAAGTTTAAATCTCCAGTGGTTCTTGAGATATCATGATAACAATCTCAATGTATGGAATTTCATAAGTTGACCTCTGTGACCCTTGACCTTTGACAAACGTGCTCCAAAATCTAATCAGATCGTCTTCCTATGGTGATACATACTATCCTTAAGTTTGAAGTTTAAATCTCAAATGGTTCTTGAGATATCGCGCTAACAATCTCAATACAAGGAATTTCATAAGTTGACCTCTGTGACCTGTGACCTTTGACCTACGTACTCCAAAATCTAATCAGATCGTCTTCCTATGGTGATAAATACTATTCCCGAGTCTTAAGTTTAAATCTTAAATGGTTCTTGAGATATTGTGATAACGGTCAAACGGGACGGACGTACAGACGGACGTACGGACGGACGTACGGACGTACGGACGGACAACCCGAAAACATGATGCCTCCGGCACCACCTTCGGTGGCGGAGGCATAAAAATTATTTATAAAAAATCTTGTCCACGAAGTGACAAATAACAAATTGAAATTAAGCAGTTGGGTAGAGCGAAAGAAGGTTTGTATCTATATCTCGTACATTTTTTTGAATTTTTGCTTATCATAAAAATATTCACATTTTGACAATTCTGCACTGTCCACAATGTATGGACGTATGAAAGATGGGGAAATTTGGGCCGCGCATACCGCAGCAACTTTTGATACTGAACTTTACACATTTGTCAAATTATTATAAATTTGGTCATTTTGTCATTTTTAAAAAAGAAGAGGAGCCCAACTACCTTCCATTCACAGATAATGGGTGCAAGTCTACCCCCCTCACAACTTCATGCACCAACGTACCATATCATCCTCTCTATTGCTTTCACTTACCCTTGTGAATCTCTCCTCTTTTCCATTCGTCTTATCCCCCCCCCCCATCATAGAGAATGGGTGTCCAAACTACCCTCCATTCAAAGAGAATGGGTGCAACTCTACCCCCCCCCCCCCCTCACACCTTAAAGCTCATCTGTACTAGTGTAAAGGAGGGATTAGACTACCCTGCAATGTCACTGGACAGGTGGTCATCTCATCAAATCAGCTCTCAATTAACATAAGAAAAAGAGGATCATGGGGGACCAATGGTCACCAATTATGCATTGTTTGTTGTATAGAGGGCGCAAGTACCTATAAGTAGTGCAGTGGGCCTTAAATGTACCAACCTACCTTATTAACCTCTCTACTCCCATCACTTACCCGTGTGAATCTCTCCTCTTTTCCACCTGTCGTATCTTCTCCTGATCAGCCTCTACCTGCTTCTTAGCATCAGAGAGCACAGAGGCTACCCTCACGCCCTCATCACCGTAATGCTCATTCTCAAAGCTGTAGGAACATACACAGAAATAATGGTAAAAAGGAAATAACTTGGCCCTGTTTCACAAAGCCTTTTTTCAATGACAAATAACAGAAATCAGTGACAAATCTGTTGATAACCAATCAGAAGCAGGGATTTCAGTAGCTTATAACCCAAACTGTCATTTGTCACTGATGACAAGTTTTGTCAAACGCCCCCAGAATGAGATGATATAGTGTTGGGTCAAGGGGACAAGTTAGAAATAGACTGCAGAGCGCTTGCAATCCAAGTGTATGTCATTCAATTCAATTCAATTCAAATTTTATTGTCCAATTATTGGAAATCTGTTTTGTTTGCATGTTATTACAAAATTACAGATTATAAACATCAATAAGATACAAATGGATACAGAATAGTACATTTGACTCGCTATGACCATGACGGACAAAGAAAGAGGACAAAATATACAGTTCCTCATTCTACCCTCAACAATTGCTGTGGTAGACGAAGGAACATCCCTTCACTGTTATTACGTAAAAATGTGTAGAACAGGTGTCCCATGCATATTTACCTGTGCTACACATTTTTACATAATAGCAGTGAAGGGATGTTCTTTTGTCTACCACAGCAATTGAGGGTAGAATGAGGAACTGTATATTTTGTCCTCTTTCTTTGTCCGTCATATTCATAGTGACTTGAACATAGATAACATGAAAAGCATTAGTTCAAAATGCAGACTAAAATTCAATTCATAATTCAGACTAAGTAATTAAATTCAATTCATAATTCAGATAAAATTCAATTCACAATACATTTTGGAAATACTTTGGATTTTGGGCTTACATGGGTGCGGTGAATATTGCCGAGCTGGGTCTAAGAGCTCCGTATAACGTAATGTAAGCATAAATGTATCTAAGTAAAGTTTATATGTAACTTATTGTAAGTGCCTTGAGCACCCTCTGGGTGGATATGTTGCGCATTATACATGTCTTTATTATTATTATAGGTTTTGGAAATGGACTTACATGGGTGCGGTGAATATTGCAGAGCTTGGTCTAAGAGCTCCGTGGGATGGATTCATCATCGAGGCTCTGGAATTGACCCTGACAGGTGAATCAACGTTCTTCCTCCTCAAGGCTGAGTTCATGCTCTCACTCTCAACCAACTTGGCTCTGTGGGAAAACAACATGTTAGGAAATTGAAATTGAACTTGAACTTGAATTAAATTGATGCTGAAATTGAAGTTGAAATTGAAATTGAAATTGAAATTGAAAATAAAATTGAAGTTGAAATTGAAATTGAATTTGAAATTGAAACTGAAACTGAAATTGAAATTAAAATTGCACTTGAAGTTTAGTTTCAAGGCTCAAGGCTGAGTTCATGCTCTCACTCTCAACCAACTTGGCTCTGTGGGAAAACAACATGTTAGGAAATTGAAATTGAACTTGAACTTGAATTAAATTGATGCTGAAATTGAAGTTGAAATTGAAATTGAAATTGAAATTGAAAATAAAATTGAAGATGAAATTGAAGTTGAATTTGAAATTGAAACTGAAACTGAAATTGAAATTAAAATTGCACTTGAAGTTTAGTTTCAAGGCTCAAGGCTGAGTTCATGCTCTCACTCTCAACCAACTTGGCTCTGTGGGAAAACAACATGTTAGGAAATGAAAATTAATGCTGAAATTTAAAGTGAAATTGAAGTTGTAGTTGAAGTTGAAGTTGAAATTGAAATTGAAATTGAAATTGAAATTGAAATTTGAAGTTGAAATTGAAATTGAAATTGAAATTGATATTGAAGTTGAAGTTGAATTTTGAAATTTGAAATAGATATTGAAATTGGAACTGATATTGAAATTGAATTTTAAAAAATTGAACTTGAAATCAAAATCAAAATTGAAAAATTAAATTGAAATTGAAATTTAAATTGAGATTGATAATTCAAATTCTCTGATTGTGGCTGTAGGGTGGACTAGATTTAACCAATCTTACCTCAACTCTTCTACCTCCTTGATATATCCTGTCATCATCGTCATGGTTTCATCATCACCATCAGTACCACCTAAGACAGCAAAAAATAACAATAACATAAAGGGTAAATCACAATACCACCTAGGGAATCAAATAATTGAATGAATGGCATGTAACAGTATCACCATCACTACTGACTATTAGACAGAAACAAATATCAATAACATAAAGGGTAGATTAACTCAGTATCGCTTAGAGCATCAAAACATTGGATGAAAAAAAATGACCTAAAGTGATTTCCATGAAATCTGAATAATTGAATCATGATTCCAACTTATTTTTCTATTCATCACAACAAAAACTACATTCATACAAAAGTAGGTAAGAACACGAATCCTAAAAACTTTTTAGAATCTATAGATGGTTTAATGTAGGCTTGTAGGTTAGGTATGTTAGTACAGTCAAACCTGGTCTAGCAACCACCTGTCTACAGAGACCACCTTTTTTGTTTCCCTTGAAAATGGTTTCTCATTGAAACATGTAATGAAGGAACCTGTCTACAAAGACTACTTTTCTTGTCTCCCTTGGGTGGTCTTTATAGACAGGTTTCACTGTTGGTAGTAAAAAGATGACAAGAAACATGCAGAGATACGTTACAATTGTGACAGAGATCAAATCACCTAGGTCTGCAGGCATAGTGTAGCAAGACCGATCTGAACAACACCAACAGAAACCACAAGAGATACAGAAGGAAAAGCAAGAGAGAGAGAGTGATATAGAGATACAAAGGTGGATAGAAAGAGAGAATAAATGACAAGATATTACATTTTTAGGAGTGCATAGCAAAGATAGAACATGAATATAATTGAAAGGAAACTAAGGAAACATAATAAAAATTGAGTGTTTCAAAGATCAGAATAGGAATGAGAAGGAAAGAGAAAGAAAGAGAGAAAGAAAGAGGAAAGAGACAGAAAGGAAGAGAAGGAGAGAGAGGGAAGGGGTGATAAGACGGAAGATTAAATAGCAAGACACATCAGTTTTAAGGGAGCATAAGAATGATTACAATTTACAGTGCACAAGTATTTAGGAGGTTTAAAACAAAACCAAAATAAATGATTTAGAAAGTGAGAGCAAACAGGACAAAGATAAAAAGGAGTTTTATAAAGTCCGCTTTCAAATCTGTAAATGTGTTGAAGCAGATATCATGTATCTCACTCCCTCTTCAATTAGAAGAGCCACATTAAAGCCCCACTGCACTACTTGTAGCTATTTGCGCCCTCTATATAGCAAACAATGCAGAAGCAGTATCCGTTGGTCCCCCATGATCCCTTTTTCTTACGTTAATTGAGAGCTAATTTGATGAGATAACCACCTGCCATTGACCAAGCAGGGAGGTCTAATCGCTCCTGGCCAAACTTGTGCAGAGGGGCTTTAATGAAAAAAATCCACTTTATTTTTCTGTTGAGAACCTGTCAATCTTGTCATAATATTCAAGGTTGATATCCTCTACAAGAAAAGCTACAAAAATGTGGATGTGGACAGCTAAATCTGGGTTCCTCGAATAAAAAAAGTGTCACCAAATTGAACACACCTTCTGGGGCATTGCAAGAAAGTGGCAATAAATTGCAAATCCCCAAAATCAAGCGTAAGTCTGTCACTAATTGCAAATTTGCAATTGATAGCAACTCAACTTTCTTGCAATGCCCCATTAGTAAGAGAGACAGAGAGAGAGGGAGGGGGAGGGGGAGGGGAAGAATAAAAGCTAGATCTAGTTAAATTTATTTAATTCTTAAAACTTGTAACAAGAGGTTACAAACCTGTTGAGGCGGACATGCCATATCTTGCTTGCTCTGCTACCAGAAGTGCTACCCTTGCAGTAAGGCCATCGATAGTCTCCTGGAGGGCCTTGATGCGCAGACGAAGGTTACCGTTCTCCATCTGGAGCAACGTGTTCTCATGGAAAAGGTCGTTGATCTCTTCCACTCCCTCAGAGTTCACTGACCTCTTACCCTGAATCATGATAATAACATTTTTAAAAAATTAAATGGTGATGATGAAGATGAAGAAGAAGAAAGATGAGAAGAGTTGGAGGAGAAGAAGAAGGAAAGAATGATGAGAATATCAATTATCCAAAAAAATGACAATGATGATCACAATGGTGATGATGATGAAGAAGAAAGAGGAGAGTTGGAGGGGGAGAAGAAGGAGAAGGAGGAGGACAAGAAGAAGGAGAAGAAGAAGGAGGAGAAGGAGGAGAAGAAGAAAGAGGAGGAGAAGGAGAAAAAGAAGGAAAAGAAACCCAGAGTTCATGATGGTGATGATGATGAAGAAGACAAATAAGAAGAAAGAGGAGAGTTCGAGGAGGAGGAGAAGAAGAAGAAGGAAAAGAAACCCAAAGTTCATCTATTTAAACTGTTAAAACGTACCTGTTTATATTCATTGAGTTCATCTTGAAGTCGTTTGATCTCTGTTCTGAGTAGAGCCAGCTGACGACTAGTCTTGTCCTGGTTAGCTATGACCGCGTTCTTGATGTTCCTGGCTCGGTTGGCGTACCTCAGAGTGTTCAACGTCTCCATAAAGTCCTGATCTGAAGGACTCACACAAGCTATCATCAATGTACGACTATGTGAAGAGATAACAAGAAGACAGACATAAACCTCAGATATTGAATTGAATTGAATTGAATTGAATTGAATTGATTTATTGTCCATAATATGGAAATTCATTGTTCACTGGTACAATTGTGTGTTACAAGGAAATGTACAAAATTAAACAGATTATAAACCATAATAACAACATAACATCAATGGCGTTTCATCTAAAAATAAGATCTTACTACTTGTATAGGAATGGAGGAAAGCAATAAAATAAAAAGGGTACAGTGTCTACATTGATTGCCCTCGTTTTACCATACTGTTGAACATGTGAGTTGAATCTGGTACAAATTGCATGTACATAGCAAGGAGCCATGAAAAGATAAATCGTAAGTGGTCCTACTGTTTTTTCTTTTTCATCCATGGAATGAACAAATTTGATTTATACACTCTGTTAAGAAGGTTTGACACAATCAGTGCATCTCTATGTGAAGGCAGAGAGAGAGAGAGAGACAAAGAGGGAAAGAGAAAGGGAGAGAGAAGCAGAAAGAGACAGAGAAAGAAAGAAGCAGAAAGAGACAGAGAAAGAGAGAAGCAGAAAGAGACAGAGAAAGAGAGAAAGAAAAAGAGTGAGAAAGAGAGAAAAAATGGGAGAGAAAGAGAGAGAGAGAGACAGACAAAGAGAAAGGTAGAGAGTAAAAGAAAAAAAGTGAGAAAGGGAAAGAGAGAAAAAATGGGAGACAAAGAGAGAGAGAGAGAGAAAGAAAAAAGAAAAAGACAGAGAAAGACAAAGACACAGAGACAAACAGACGGACAGGCAGATTCGAGCAGGAATACGTACAGACAAGACTTCTATTATAAATGAGCTGGTTGAGAATGAGTAATAAACAACTATCAATCCCCTTTGGAAGATCCTCATCTTACCTGTTTCCTCCCAGTGAGTCCTGTAGAAGCCTGGTCAGTTTAGAATCTCTGTACGGAACATGAGATGATCTCTTGGTTGGGTCACCAAGGGCGCTAATCACATTACCAAGAGCAAGCTACAGAGAACAAAAACACACAGCAAAAAAAAAAAAAATTAAATAAATGTAAATTGCATCTAGTTTATTATGCCGCCGTCAAAGTTCTGTAAATTATAGATCATGTGACCTTGGGCCTCATGTATCCAAACTCTGTTCAGTTTATCTTTAAATACTTATATAATAGTGGATGGCTTAGAGTGTGATACAAGAATATATATACCTAGGTTTGGTTAGAATCCCCACCATGGCTCTAAAGTTATCATGGTAAGGATTTTTTTTTTTTAAACCTGTGACCCGGAACTATGACAAAACCCCAAATTAATCAGTGAATGTATTCACACTTAAACATACGCTTTACTAGTTGTGTAAATAGGCCCAATTGTTCTTAACACATGGGTCATTCCATGTCAAATCACCCAAAAAATCTGAAAATCTTAACCCGACCATTTTTGATTTTGATGAAACTTGGTGAACTTGTTGAGTGTGATCTCACAGCACCAAATCCCAAATTTTAGGTCAATCGGGTGAGGGGTTTGGGAGATACGGCCAACCAAATTTTGAGATTTTTTCAAAAATGGGGGTGGCGGGCCTACCTTTGAACCCTTGTATCTCGGGACCTAATGGGTCAATCTTCTCAAAATTTGTATTGTTGGAAAGGGTATTCAATAAGGATTCCAAATCTGCCGCCATTTTGAAGATTCGTACATGTTGGGGTACTTTGACCTCTTGACCTCAGATTTGACCTTGAAATTGACCTTGTGGATCACGTAACTTTGACAACATTTTTCATGAAATGTAATCTCTGACATGTTCACTAAAACATATAAAAGTTTCAGAGATATAATATTTTTTGTTTAGGAGCAATAAGGATTGAAAGTATCCATGCTCACAGATATTCACAATAAGCCCTATTATAATGTATACAATACATGCAATATGCACAGTACAACATACATCTTCCACATGCTTTTTTGTTTTAGTCATATCCATCCTAAATGTCAGCAGTACTTGAATGGAAATAAAATGACAATTTCATATAGGCCTAAAGGGTTAACAGGATGTACAGGCAGGACAAACATTGAACAAGCAATCAGGGGTGGGGGGGGGGGGGGGGGTCCACAAAAGTGTCATCAGTGACAAATGACAGTTTTTGTTATAAGCTACTGAAATCCTTGCTTCTAATAGGTTATCAGCAGATTTGTCACTGGTTTTTTTAATTGTTATTGAGAAAATGCTTTGTGAAACTGGTCCCTTGGAGGGAGTTTCACAAAACTTGTCATCCGTGACAAATGACAGTTTTTGTTATAAGCTACTGAAATCCTTGCTTCTGATTGGTTATCTGCAGATTTGTCACTGGTTTTTATCATTTGTCATTGAAGAAAGGCATTGTGAAACTTATTTGGTGGCAGCAGTGGGATGTATAGAGCAGGGGGTGTTTCACAAAGATCCTAAGTCAAACTTAACACTAACTTGGACTTCAAATTAAGGAGAGCCATTTGTATTCTTAAAATGAAATATATTCAAAAGCAAAAAGATCAAGTATTTAAGACTTTTTATAAATTCCACATCAAGAACATGAAATCTCCTTGATAATAGAAAATATGAATGATTTGAATCAACATTTTATGCCTTTTAAAATAACGTTTACAGTGACTTTACACAATATTTTCATAGATGCTAACAGCTTTCCATAACTGTTAAGTTCAACTTAGGATCTTTGTGAAACACCCCCCAGTTCTTCTTACCAGTCCACAGTTAATTGATATGCCTTCCTTTGCTCTGTCTCCCGTAGCGCCAGTTCTCTTCAACCTCTCTGAGCCAGCCAGATCAACAAAATGGAATTTAGCAGTCAGCATTTCAAACTCGTTCATTCCGTCGCCTTCAGCTTTCTCCGCCTCCTTCTCTCCTTCACCTTCAATTTCCGTTGTCTGTCGATCGGTGAAAAGGATTACAAAATGAAGAAGAGGAAGGGTGTTTATCTGTACTAAAGGATGATTCTGTAAGCGTCATATTCCACTTTCATCCAAAGTTGAAAAAAAATCTTTTTTTTTGGATCGTTGACTAAATATTCTTTCTTCATAATGACATAATGACCACATAAGATCATTCAGTAGTCAAATGAATCAGTATGCTAGAAAAGGTGGGAATTCCCCTGTTACAATGAAGTTTGTTCTCTGAAGTGTGTGTACTAAAGGACGATTCTGTAAACGTCATATTCCACTCTATCTTAAAGTTGAGATAAAAATCTTTTGATCATTTTACTAATAGTTCTTTCTTTATAATGACCACACAAGATCTTTCATTATTCAAATGAATAAGTAGGCTTAGAAAACGAGGGAATTCCCCCGTTACAATTAAGTTTGTTCTATCCACGCTGGATGTAAAGATAGTGTCCTGTAATATAAGGGTTATGAGATGTAAACATGAGATGGAAGCCTGGTTCTCTACTGCAAAGACATAGAATTGTAATGGTCTAGTGGATACATTGCCAGACTGCGGATCACATGGTTCCCCCTCTCACATGGTGCAACCGTAAGCCTACTGTAGAAACACTCAAGTCCTTTAGCAAGATAACAATCTACATTTCCTACTCTACACCTAGATGAAGTAAATGGGCACCAGGTAGGAAAGTATACCTTTAATGCTGAGAGTGCCTCAGGGGAGCCGAGCTAAAGCCAGGGTTATAACCACTGCCTCACACAACCTCTGGGATGGACATGTGAGCAGTACAAGGTATGGTTTGGTTTGGTGGTTTGTTTTACCTCACTGCTAAGAAGCATGTGATTGCTTGTAAGTAAGGTCAAGTCCTCTCTGAGGCACTTGGTCATGAGGATTAATGCCTTACCAAAGGGCACTAGCGAATTAACTTGGTGTGGAACCTGTGATCTCCCACTAACGAGAACACTGCTCTACCACTGAACCATCAGCCTCCTTGCTGCACTACTTATAGCTTTTTGCGCCCTCTATATAGCAAACAATGCCTAATCGGTGCCTGTTGGTTCCCCATGATCCTCCTTTTCTTATGTTAATTGAGAGCTGATTTGATGAGGTAACCACCTGTCAGTGACCTTGCAGGGTGGTCTAATCCCCCCTGGCCAAACTAGTACAGATGGGCTGTTCTTACCACTTTGATGAGTCTCTGCTGTTTGATGTGTAAAGTGAAGATGGCGTGGGATCTGGAACTCTGAGAGTTCATCTTGGTGCTCGCCGTTGTTCTGGACAAGGCACCGCCCTGTAACGCTTGTAAAGTCTGAAGAAAAACAAGACAAAGTGTTGCATAAAGTGGTGAAGTGTGACGTCATCAAAATTCTATTTTTTAGAAATTATCAATTTTTTCTTCATATTCTGAAAGAGCATAAAAAATAATGTCCAAATGTTGAAAACCAATTGAATATGTTCAGTATGTGCTGAGATATGACCATCTGAATAAATAGATTTCCTATAGGAAATCATTGTTATTTTGCTCTGGTTCTTAATGTTATGAGCCAGAGCCATGTAGGAAATCTATTTATTCAGATGGTCATATCTCGGCCAATACTTAACATATTCAATTGGATTTCGACATTTGGACATTATTTTTTTATGTTCTTTCGGAAAATGAAGAAAAAATTGAGAAATTCGAAAAAATGGATTGTTATGATGTCATAGCTTAGGTACTATATTTGGAACTAGTTGTATGACGTATCTATTAAGTATTTACATGTGATACATTGGATGTCTTAGGTACCGACACTATTTTTATGAATATCTTCAACAAGATTGACATTTCTTTGGTGACACCTTTAGAACACAGGAAAACATAAAACATTCTTGATTTCACACAGGATGTAACAGCTCTTTGGTGGCACCAGGGGCCAATTTCATAAAAATTGTTATCAGGGCTTGAATTAATTCAAGGCCAATAAGGCCATGGCCGTGGATGCCCCTTTGATTGGCTTCCATGCCCCTCTCATTGGCCTTGGAGATTTTTTGTGCCCTTTCCAATTCTTTCTATTTGTGCTATAATATAGGAATGTGCCCTACAGAAAAGTGGCCTTGCCCTAAAAATATTGAAATTTAGGGCCTGTGTTATCAATAATAAATTTTAAAATTCTATGAAAAATTTGCTCTCGGCTGATCAAATGCCACATTTTCAAGAGCTTATAACAGTAATTGTAACTTGTAACTGATAACAAATTTTATGAAACAAGGCCTAGGACATAAAAATCTCAAAACATTCTTTAATTAATGGGGGAGGTACAAAATCAAAACGGTTGCATTTATTTGGTGGCAGCGGCAGGATATCAATGCAGGACAATGTGTAGCAACAGGGGAAGAAAGAAATGGTCAAAGGGGCATGTATCACAAGTAGCAGGTCAAAGTTTGAGAGGCAGGCTATTAACACCTTGAGGCGAGACACTGGCAGGAGGCAAGAAATCAGGGAGTGGGGGGGGGGGGGTTTCACAAAGACTAAGAGTGACTTCAAGTTGGACTTAACTATGGCAGGCCGTTCATGCCACTGTTTGCTCTCACCATTTACTGGCATTGGTCTCTCAAGGGACGTACAAATCATGGTCACAAATCTACAGAATTTACATTTTTTGATAATTCATTATTGAAGGAAAATAAATTCTCTAAAGATTATAATTGTAAGAGCAAACAGTGGCATTAAGGGCTTGCCATAGTTAAGTCCAACTTTAGTTAATCTTAGTCTTTGTGAAACACTCCCCTGACCTTAAAAGAAAACATTTATGGAGTGTGGGTAGAGTAGACATTAATAGGAAATGACAGTGACAAAACATGGGAAATTGCACAATATCCTATCGATCATCTATCTAGGGATGGGGCTGTTTCTAGTGTATAGTTCAAGAACAAATCCAACCTTAAAGGGAGTGGGTTGTCAGTTTCCATGTGCAGTAGATCATGATTTGCAAACCTGAGGTCCCACCAAGAAATACCCCCTAGTCTCTCTAAGAGTCTTAGAGAGATGCCAACCCTATAGGATGGCTGTCAGTAACATTTACCACATTTGTCCGTAACAAATGGGGGTCTTTCCGCAACGTACACAAACACCCAATCACTATACTGCATTTCGAACCTACCATTTTTAAGTCCAAAATAAAGATGTGCATAAAAACGTTTTTTTTAATCTGTTTGCAGTCAAAGGATCTCCTCCTTGGGTACTCGCTCTTTTGACTGAATCCATGATAATATTCAGGAAGAAAACGCCTTGTTCAAGCGTCGAACGGCAAATTCAAGTCCACAGTCAAATGGCAGAACTCGTATCCTACACACGTACACGTACACTCACCAGTACCACATACACACCAGCCCAGGCTGCTCGGCCCGGCGTTTATGAACAACACACCGTATACCGCACTTGCAATGCGCCTGCTGAATCACTGAAGTCTTCGCTACTATACTTTGAATGGGTATTGCGGGCGCCGCGCGCACGATCCTCCACCATCATGCTCCCCCCAAAATGCACGACCGCACATAGTATACTAGTATCAAAACAGTAATGGCGGTGACCGTGTTGTTTCGGAATTAAACAAGATGGCGGTGGATGGAACATGTGCGCGAAAGTGCCTATCCAGTGTAGTCAAATTCAGTGAACTTATGAGTAATTGCGTGCGACATGCAGTGCTGTGTATGGAGGCTATGTGATAAGGCGGCATTCGCTGTAATGTACTTTTATTTATCGTTTCCCCGTAACCTTTTGATTGTTTACCGTAACGCCGTAACAAGAGCATTAAAACCGTAACGGTTGGCATCTCTGGTCTTAGGGTGAGGGAGAGGTAAGATAATGACCTGTATATATGCGTCGATTGGTAGAAAATGCAGAGCATTACATAGCATTTTGGTCATAAATCTGAAGGCTAATCCCGGTGATTAACAAAACATGTTATTGGGTAAACGCTGAATGGTGTAGTATTCCCAATGAGAGCCCACTGCTATGCGTCTTTAAAAGACAATGAGAGAACACCCTTCTGGTTATTAGCAGATGCTATGACAGATTACCTCTGGCTCTGATGTGACGGTCCTGGTTGTCACACCGACCACGTAGATCCCGCCCCCGGCATCTTCATGGATCTTTATGTGAGATTTCTTATGCTGTGGAGAACAAAAAGAACGAGGAACGCAACATTTATCATCATAAGAAAGAACTGTTTCTAATAAAGCACTTTTCCTGTTACAAGTAACCAACCAAAGCTTGATGTTTCAATATGTAATATACGCATCATCTTCATACAGGTACAACCTATCAAAATGTTGAGCATGAGTGGGTCCTTATCGAGCCCCCCCCCCCTCCACCTAGTATGTGGTCTTACTACGAATTTCACTCAGATCTATCTTCACCGTGGAAGCCTTCAAAGATTACAGTTGCACCATGCTATCCATAAACTGAATAATGTTCAACATTGTGATGCCCTATCATGGCTTTAAATAGCGTCTCATAACCAAGAGGTCCCGGGTTCGAAACCAATTCAATGTGCTAGTGCTCATTGGTAAGGCATTAATCCTCATTACCAAGTCCCACAGAGAGGTTTTAAAGCTGTCAGTCCCCTGGTTGCCTGCCTTTCTTTATAAATACAAGCATACACATTCTTTCTTTAGCAGTCAGGTAAAACAAACAAACCAACCACCCAAACTAATTCCCGAGCATGACACTTATCGTATAATGTAATTTAAGAGAAATAGCTACTTTGATACACTGTGAAAGATTCTCCTATGGAAGATATTTGAATTCAAAATAATATTTTACAATCTTATTACGCCCCCAAACTTTACTCTTAAAATGTCATTATGCAAAAGTTGTGGTACAGGTAAGGTTGAATGCATATCTGCCTCGGTCATTGATATTCAACAAGATTATACTAACAATAACAACAGTGGATAGATATCGTGCACATATTCACCACTGAAGGAGCTCAAAGGCACTCAGATATTAACCCTCCTCAGCAATGCTACCGATATCGGTGCTCATACCATACCAGTACCCATTCAACACCTGGGTGGAGAGTGGCAAATATAGAAGAATGTACTCTTACCCTGCTTGATTCCATATCCCTCGTTGTATCAAACAAGTCCAGGACCTCCTCGTTGTACAACTGCATCACAACAAAAAACATCAAAGTCAAAAGAATAATTGCAAGGTCTATATTACAGTCAAACCTGTTTTAATGACCACCTGCACACAAACACCACATTTTATGTTTCCCTTGAAACTGATTTTTCATTGCTAATTGTACTACAGGAACCTGTCTACAAAGACCACTTTTTGTGTTTCCCTTGGGCAGTTGATATAGACAGGTTTGACTGTACCACCGAACCTGTCCATTGAGCATACCCAAGGAAAATGGAAAAAGTGGCCACTGTAGACAGGTGGCCTTTGTAGACAGGCAGCCACTAAGACAGGTTTAACTATATTATATATATGTATATATGATTTTTGTGTGGCAACTACTTTTTCCTTAGAGCTACCATATTGAGTCCTCCATTCAATCACAAGTTTGCAGTCTCTTATCTCTTATGTACAAAAGTTGCGATTAATATCAACTCTTTTTAAGACGGGGCCTCATCTAGTCTACGATTCCAATTCTAAATATTTAGAAATAACTTCTATGATACATCGAAACGTTGCCCCTTGTGGCAGTTTCAATGTCTGTGGTCCAGATACCTTCACCTTTAAATAGCTGACAAACTAGCTACATGTAGTAGTTAGCTGGTAGTTTTACGATTGCCAGTGTCATTAGTGTCGGGTAAGTCTGAATCTAATTGACTGGGGTAATAATATATATCTGTAAAGCGGTTTGAGAGGGCTTGCGGTCCTGAAAAAGATCCATATAAGAACAAACTATTATTATCATTATTATTATGAACTGGTAGACACCAACTTTCAGGAGTGTCATAAAACTTGATGCATAAAACTCTGATGACCTCTTCAACAATTTTAAATCTGGGGGGCATTTCACAAAACTTGTCATCAGTAACAAATGACAGTTTTTGTTATAAGCTACTGAAATCCTCGCTTCTGATTGGTTATCAGCAGATTTGTCACTGATTTTTGCTATTTATCATTGAAAAAAGGCTTTGTGAAACTTATTTGGTGGCAGCGGTAGGATTTACCTCCATGAATTCAGCGTAGATCTTGAACTCCGGTGGTGGCTCGCTTCTCTCTGTGGCACTTCTCCGTCTCTCCTCGATCCCGGTGAAGAGGTGACGGACCGCTCGAGGTATGATCCCCTTCTGGTCCTCCTTCAGTCCAGGCTCAAAACCAGTCCCCATGCTGTACGTCTTCCCTGATCCGGTCTGGCCATAGGCAAAGACAGTAGCATTGTAGCCCTCAAAACACCTGGGGATCAAGACAATAGACATTATTAATAGGCTCAAAACCAGTCCCCATGCTGTACGTCTTCCCTGATCCGGTCTGACCATAGGCACAGACAGTAGCGTTGTAGCCCTCAAAACACCTGGGGATAAAGACAATAGACATTATTAATAGGCTTAAAACCAGTCCCCATGCTGTAGGTCTTTCCTGATATGGTCTGACCATAGGCAAAGACAGTAGCATTGTAGCCCTCAAAACACCTGGGGACAAAGACAAAAACGGAGGAAGATTAAATGAGGGTCCCGGGGCAACGCCTCTAGCGAAATTTAAGGGGGCTGTGCCTCCATTTCCGCAGAAAAACTTTAGTATATACACATAAAAGGACAAATTTTCCTTGCATTTGAATTCTAAATTTGAGAAACATGTGTAACCTCATCTTGCTCAAAGGGACTCTATAACATTGTTCAGATGAGAGAAAAACGCTGCAAAGGTAGCGAGGTCAATGAATGCTAGATGTACAATTAATGACAATAATAAGTTTAACCCTTACTGTACTGGGGGGGGGCCTGGGAGGCCCCCCCCCCCCTCGACATTTTCGGAGATCGCGCCGCAACCGCTTGGAATTTTGAATTGTCGTTTCATGACTTTTTTCCTTCAAGTCTTGCGCACATTTTGATACCATTTTCGTCAAAATCGGATATACCTGTAAGGTGTTACATAACAATTAGTATGCGCATGTCATCAAAAAAGTGCTATAATTGCATATATTCATGTACAAGCAGAAATGTGAAGATATGAATTGATATCAAATTGCTTTTATATGTTTCTCAGAGTAACTTGATGTATTCCAGAACAAAAGAATACATAAGAAATAAAACAGTAGATGTAATAAGAAATAAAAAACAATAAAATACCTAAGAAAATAAATATTTGAAAATCGCATCAAATTTGCATAAATTATTATTATTAATTACATCAAATAACTATTTTGTATTAAAAAAGAAGTTTTGTATGAATAATGAGTTTCAACATTCAAAAAGTGGAGTCTGACAATTTTTGTAATGATTCTAGTTCCCTAAATATAGTTCCAGATTTGATATTTATGAATGCCTAATTTGCGTATTCATAATTTATGCAAATTAACCTATGCATTTTCAAATATCATAAAAATAATGAAACCTCATGAATTTGAGATGAAGGAAACATTTATTCAATACATTTTCAAGAATTCTTCACAAGTCTACGGACAAATATGTAGAGTTTTCTGTGAAATGCATAAAATTAGCATTTTGCATAATAAATTAGGCTATAACGACAAAAATTTGCATATTAGGAAAAAACTAATTATACCATCTTGTTCCTTACGTAAATATCTACAAATATGCAAATTTTCGTGTTCATCGGACATTCGACGGCCGAGATCATAGGGGGGGGGGGGGGTCCGAGGCCCCTCCCCCCCCCCCCCCCCCCCCAGTCAGAGGGTGCTCAAAATAGCCCAGTACAGTAAGGGTTAAGTTTTGGGGGGATTTTTTTGTCCCCCATCTTCATATCTCGAAATTGGAGGAGGAATCTCATCCCTGCTACTGACACCAAACGCTACACATGGGACTTACCCTTCAATCAAATCATGGACGGTCTTTTGATAGAGGCTGTCTTGTTGGCTGTCCATATCAAACACATTATCATAGGTGAACATCCGATCTGGACCCAAGATGATCTGAGGCTCATCTGGGCTAACCGCTGTACAAACCCGGCATGCATCAATCTTCTCTCTCGCTAGCTGCGGACGAATCCTGCAGGAGAAAGAAAAACATGATGAATTATTATTATTATTATTATCATGTTTGCTGTTATTATAATTATTATTGTTATTATTTATTAATATCATTATTATTATCATCATCATCATCATCCCTCCCTCTTCCTATTCTTTCCTCTCTTTCTCTTTCTCACTTTACTGCTACATCCTGTTAATTCCCCCCTCTCTAGCCTTTTTCTTTTCCCTCTAATCACTCATCCATCTCTTTACTTTCCCCTCTTCTCCATAATTGATACCGACTATCCATACAATCTGTTTACATTATAATCGTGTGCATTGGAGCTTAGGCCTTTGTAGACTTAACATCAGTTCGTGAGACCCTTCATAACAGCACACTTCATTACATCCCTAATAAAGAAGATACAATGTACACTGTACAGTACTTCAATCCAACAGTCTAGACCCCTATTAATAGCTCCTTCAATCCATACACACATTGTGAACAAGTTTTCTTCTGAAGCATCTAAAAGTTATTGACCCTTTCTTTTTTTACTATTGCAACAAATCCATTCCTAACAAAGTGACTTGGTATTGTTGAAGGTACAATGTAGATGAAAAATTGCTTAATTTTTGTATAAAATGTTACTTACATGTACAGTATATTCCTGCTACTATTAAACCCTCTGGCATGCAAAAAATCCTAAACAAAATTCTCAAACCACAAAGATATCTAGTTTTCTTTGAAGGCGTCACTGTGCAACACCCTCTAACAGTGATTAACAGTAAATTCTCCCAACCATTTTTGTATTTTTCCCAACCGTGTTTTCCATGAAAATAAGACATACATGTAAGACAAGCTTTTAAAAATCTGTCAACATTTAAATGCCTGGAATGGTATATACTGTGACGATTTAAATTCACCTAAAATGTAATTAAATTGTAATAATATATAGTTGGGAGGATGTAGTTGGGAGGATTAAGGAATCAATCAGATCATTTTTTCCAAATTTGTATCATTAGTAATGGACTGTTTTCACTCAAACTTTCAGATTATCTTTAATTGTACATCTAGCATTGAAGTCACTACCTAAGCACCATTTTCTCTCATTTGAACAATGTCGCAAGGTCCCTGTTAGTATAAATGTTCCGTGTCTGTACAGATCTAATCGCAATAGGATGAAGCGGTGCTGTAAGGGTTAACAAAGACTGGTATCAAACAGAGACTGGTAACATCAACATGTCACATCATAATTGATAGGCATGTCTATCTAGAAATTATAACTTCCTGAATATAAGACATAATTGGACTGGTGCCAAACACTCATCGTCATGTCATCGCATTGCTCATGACTGTACAGGTCTACATGAACTAGCAAACTCGACCCTCCTAAGAAATGATCACCGCTCAGGTGATTCTGTGTATGCACATGGAGGTGAAGTGACAAATGATTCAAAGTCAAACCCACTTTTTAAAGAGAAGGTTGAATTATGGCTAAGACAAAAAGAATACATATTTTTTAACATTCTTGTTCTTTACACATTGCAGGAAATATGCCAGGTTAAATGAGTGAACTTTACAGATTCAGAAACGTTTGGAACATGAACCTTTTGCAAATTATTATTATATTATTTGATGTATGTATATTATTTATTCAACTTTTTTGTAGCATACAGTACATGTACATGTGCCTATGATTCCAACCACTTGCAGCGTTCAAAAATTTCAGGCACATGAAAGTTGATAGTAATAATACTTGTTTGGGACAGGACAAAGAATTTTAAATGTACAGTGTACATGTACATGTATGTACTAGACCCCCCCCCCCCTCCCTCTCCCTCTCTCTCTCTCTTTCTCCCTCTCTCTGTCTCTATCTCTGTCTCCCTCTCTCTCTCTTGCCTCCAAAACAACCTTCTACATGTACTACCGGGTACATTTTAACTCTGAATGTGGTTCACCAAGTCTAATTGAACCCCGCCCCCCCCCCCCCCACTCCGGGGTCGAAATGACCGCATGCGTGTTACCAAAATGTCCGGTAAAGGGGTACTTTTCGTGCGACAAAGTCCGGCCCGAGAATTGTAAGAAAAGGGGGTGTATTTGACTTTCACCCGGAGATTTCTTTAAAAAGGGGGTGTTTTTTTCTTTTTTTCTCTCATCTCTTGGGACTCCTGAGAAATTATTCCGAATTAAGGGGGGTAAATTGAGCATTTTTCCGAATTAAGGGGGGTACATTGAGCATTTTTCTGAATTTAGGGGGGTCTCCAAGGCAGGAAAAGCCCGCAAAAAGCTCGCGAAAGGGGGTTCGGAAATGTTGGCAGTCCTCAGATAGGGGGTGCTTTCAAAAAGAGGGAACGAGCATACATGTATATGCGTACCCTAAATAACACTGAGTGGGGGGCCGGGAATTGAACTCTGTAAAGCTGTTCGTTTTCAAGCATTTAAAAAAATAAGTATTCTTTTGAAGGTGAGTGTGAAAGACCTAAGTGTGTGCAAGGTCACCGCAAATATGCCATCATTGTAGTTGCAAATTAGATTGTATCCTTTCTTTCACTGTGCGCCCATTTGAACACGTGGTATTTTACTCCTAACAAGTGATCGATATCCCAGTCTCTTTTAAACTCACACCTGCAAAGGGCATGTTCACATTCTGTCTGTAAATGCAGTTAGCTAGTGTCTACATGTACATGTACATTATGATGATGCAGTGAAGTGTAAACATGGCTGGTACAGTACATTAAATACTGTAAAAAAAAAACTACAAATCATTTACATTTGAACTTAAGTTTGTTTGCACACAATACAGTGTACATGTATATAATTTTGAGACAAGACTACACCTGCAGTGGGAACATGCCTGAAAAAAGGGATCAGGTGCGTTCAGAAAGCACTAGCAGCATCTTTGTAAAGTGATATACATGTACTGTACAGGTATAGGCCTGGTACAATAGGTACAAACTAGACTAAAAACAGGTAGAGCATATTTGCAAATGATTGAGTACAGACAAGTCCAAGGTATTTGCTGATTTTGTATTCTGTAGGTCAAGATGTATTGTAGAGTTGTGAGCATATATTTAATATTGACATCACATGTGGGTGTGTTTTTCTTTCCATTTAATATTTGAATTGAATTGAGTGGTTTATTGAAAATACAGAAAATGGCATCCCAAATGCTTAAATACAGGGTATATCAAAATTTGATACGAGCACATGAAACACAACTTGACAAGCAATGTTAAAACAATTATTACATACAGTAATGCTTGCGAGAAACCATAATGTAGATGAAATTAATAAGATATAATATTATGACAACAAATATGTATGAAGAACACTATCTTGAAGTTAACACATAAAGCTGTGATAATCTTTCTTATATTTGAGACTCTTGTACATGTACTATGTAGGGATATTGACTCAATACAATGACCAGATACTAAACTCCAATCTTAGATACCTGACAATAGCTGGGACATGTCCTTGAGTATGAATGTATTTAATGTACACTGTATGTACATGTATGCACATTGCACAAACTACATGTACAATACATTGTATACAGTGCATGTACATACATGTATGTACATGTATGTTTGCATGAAAGTGAACCAAAATACTGTCAGTGAAAACTGACTCACAGCACTGTATTGAGTGTTCATGTACTGTGTGAGTCAAAAAAAAGTTTATACCAGTACCTAGAAAATGGTAATTATTTAAAAAATCATCTACACTGTATATGTACATGTACAGTAAATTATTATACATCTTATGAAAGAGTGTTTTATCCCAAATCATTTAGTATTATTGTGTTGTGTGTTCACGCTTGGATGAACAGGGTACTGTTCATACATACAGTAGATGATTTTTTAAATAATTAGCAATTTTCTAGGTGTAAACTTTTTTTTTGACTCACACTGTACAGTATGTACAAATGTACATTGTATGCCTGTAGCCTACTTGCACACAAGTGTTTTGTAATCATATACAGGCCTAGCAGAAACAGCCCTAGTAGAAACAGGCCTAGTGGGAACAGGCCTAGTGGGAACAGGCCTAGTGGGAACAGGCCTAGTGGGAACAGGCCTAGTGGGAACAGGCCTAGTGGGAACATGCCTGATTATGCCCAGAGCAGCAAGTGCATGCAAACAAGTGACTCATACTCAAAACAAACATAATGCATTGAAGCCCTGTCATATCATTCATGAAATTAAAGCTAATGTGGTCTCCCATCCTCACCTCTCCTTCACCTTCATTGGTTTTAGGTGCGTCTACATTGTGTCATGTGTGAAGCAGTGAAAAAAGAAAAGACTGTTATCAATTTTTCTATCATGTCATATGAAAAAAGGATTTGTGGTAATTCGTATGTATTCATTCACCTCAGCAGGCAAAAAAATATTTTTTAAATTTGGGGGGCTACTTTTCAAGCTTGCTTGCATGAAAATAACACTCTTTAATATGTTTTGCATTGAACTGTATGCAAATTTTGGGGGGTTCTTTTACAACTTTCAGGGGCTCTTTTGGGCATTTGGGGGGCTAGTTCGCCCAGAGCCCCCATGTATTTTTTCCTGTTCACCTGTATTCACCTGTCTTTTTCGGGCTCCTTAGTAAGACAGTGTCTTGTAATGCCCTCCTATAGTTCATCAGTACACCACTGCAAAGAGTTCGTTCCCATTTGTTTGTTTCTTATTCTGTTGGTTTTCCCTTCTTCACCCCTGTAGATTCTAGTAGATGTTTTACCAGAATGACATTTTTCGTCATAGAATTTGTTTAGCTTTACAAAGCTAAATAATTGATCATAGCTCTGGATTTTTTTTTTTTTCTTTTTTTTTTTTGGGGGGGGGGGGGGGTTGCGGGGTTCTTTTTTTTTATATCATTTTTTTTAATAACATTAATGACTAAAAATAATATTCTTGTTTTAATTTACGATACATGTAAGAATACATGTTCATAGCACTTAATACAGTAAAACCTCTATACAGAAGTATGGCTCTCAAGTCTCAGAGACAGGCAGTTGTCATACAGGTGGTCGCTAAAGCGGGTTTCTACAATGCATAGATTCTTAACAATCAGGCAGGATTTTGAATTTAGTAGTGTCTCTCTTATCTTCTGGATTTGAAACTACATGCTAGATCATTGATCGGTTTGGGTTTGGGTTTTTTATGTGAAAAAACATGAAAAACATACTGCTAATTTATGTTGTTTGTTTGATGTTTTTTTTTATAATTTAAATTAAAAATAACATATAAAAGCTGGCGGCCATCTTCATAGATAGCCCGGCTGGACGTCTCAGAAAATGAGCCAAGCAGCCATTTCGGAAAGAGAAAAAAAAGCCTCCTACATTTAAGCTAAACATGTTGTTGTTCTATTTGGCCTTAAGTACTAGTTCTAACTCCATTGACCTCACTACAAAAACCAATTGAGATTTCAGACTCCTTTAAGCCACTAGCACACAGGACATACCTTCGTTGAGGTACTGATTTCAAACAGCAACAACAGGTTTTACTGTACAGTGTTTCTACATGTAAGCACTGTATAATTGTTAATATTTTGAGCATTTAGCAGAGACCATCTGCCTATCTACTATAATACATGGAGGAAATAATTGATTTGTTGTGGTTGTGTGTGGATGGTGATTGCATACACATATGTGCATGATAGCAGGTCTGTATGCAGTGCTCACATGAGAACACTCCCACTGAGTTTATGACCTTTACAAAGTTTCTCATCTCGAGGAGTACTGAAAAATATTGGTTTCAATCATGTGATAATTCATGATAATTTATTTCCTGAAGATTTCTCATTTCTTTGTCTGTATTGTGTTGCATTTAAAGTTTAATATTACAGCACTAAAGACGTACAACATGCATACTGCCCTTCGATGACGAAACAGCATCTTGCACAATTGAGTTAATTAGTGTGGGTGACTCAGAATGTCAAGTTCCACATGTTAAAACTAAAATTTAGGGTTTACAAATCTTGCCAAATCTTGCCCCATTCTTTTCTTCTTTCTTCTTCTTCTCTTCCTCCACTTCCTCCTCCTTCTCCTCCTTTTTCTTCTTCTTCTTCTTCTTCTTCTTCTTCTTCTTCTTCTTCTTCTTCTTCTTCTTCTTCTTCTTCTTCTTCTTCTTCTTCTTCTTCTTCTTCTTCTTCTCCTTCTTCTTCTTCTTCTTCTCCTCCTCCTCCTCCTCTTCTTATCCTCCTCCTCCTTCCCTTCTTCTTTTGTTTCTCAGCAAACTCAACATTTTTTTCTTACCAATCTCAAGAGATTTCTGTCAGGAACACTAACACACACTTCTAGATCTACATGTAGATGGGACATTATTCAAATGCACTTGTGATTCAAGTTTCTCCTTCTTCTTCAAGATAATCTGCCTCCTTCAATACTGAAGATTCTTGCAGATGCCGTATACTTGGCCTGATCGGGGTGTGCAGGTGGACCATTACACCGGGGTGTCCCCCTACTCTTATACGAATAGTGCAATGGGTTCTTAACGTGCAAGGGTGGTGACTGTCCTGTACACGGGGCCTCCATTTAATGTCCTATCCGAGGGACGAAGTGTTTTCCACTTGACATAACCTGCGTCTATGAACAAGGGAAGGGGCACGTTAACACACAACGCAGGCTTCAGTCATCCGCCTGGGTGGGAGTCAAACCCGGGATCTTTGGTTCGACAGGCAGACGCTTTACCGACTGTGCCAACTCACCTCCTCAACTATTAAGTTACTAGTAGTAGACCTAGATATAGATCAGGGAATAATTTTCCTCAAATTTTTTGATTAGCAATTTCAGCCGATGGATAAATATTTCAAATGAAATTCTGTACATTTCTATGGAAGAAAACTGCTACACAAAAGATATTTTGTATAGCAGTCATGCAAAAATGCATAGCAAATTGCGATGCGATACCAGGAAAATTATTCCCTGTAGATCTAGGCCTAGGCCTACACAAAATAAAATAGCAATCAATTGCAAAGTCTACATGAATATTTAGAATCATTTGCATCAAGGCCAGGCCAGAGGCCAAACCCAATGCCCACGTCTGCCAAGCCAGGGCCCAAACTACCCCAGGTCAGTGAACCCTGGAATACACTTCCACTGTTCAACTAAACAATTCAACACAACACAACAATGTCAACAGTTTTGAGTTATTGAAATGATCGACATAAAAAATATAGCCACGCGCGTACGCGTTCACATGCTCTTAGGTCCATTTTGGGCAACTCACCGAACAGCCACTCGAACACTCGTGTCATCTTGTTTCTCCGGCATTTTGACTGTCCGTTTCTGGAGTGACGACAAATAACTGCACTTCGTTCATCGACTCAACTTCAATTGATCCGCACAGGTCCTTTGATTGTGTACACAGACATAACACGTTACGCTTGCTTGAACCTCGTCTGTGTAGATTGATAACGGAGACTTTAATAGGTAGCGCTGACCAAGTAAAGGAGTACGACGGCAATTACGACGTTGCTTCGCATAATATAAGACACTGAGAATTTTTTTCAGTCATTGACACGCTCTGGCTTGACTCTCAGAAGAAAGAAATGGACTCAAACTACGCAGAAGGCAAGCGTTCTGCCTATGAGTCACAGCTTACAGGCATGAACGGTAATGGGAATGAACCGAATTTCCCGTTTCCTCGGTCGAATATTATGCATGAAAAAAGCAACCACTTGTTAGTTATAATGTTTCTACCGCAAGATGGCGACATTTCACATTACTCGATTCAACGTCTGATCAATAGAAACTATATTTGGGCAAAAATAAATTCCTCTAGCTTTCTTATACGGAGGAGGAGGAGGAGGAGGTCTCCCTTTTACCCTTCTTCCTCCGTCTTCTCCCCCTCCTACAGTACTCCCCTCCCCATCCTCATCATATATACCCCTACTATCACTCCTCCCCTCCTTGTAGTATATACTTTCGGCTTCTATCTCCTCCTCCACCTGGATTCTCCTCCAACTCTTTTTTTCTTCTTCTTCTTCTTCTTCTTCTTCTTCTTCTTCTTCTTCTTCTTCTTCTTCTTCTTCTTCTTTTTCTTCTTCTTTTTCTTCTTTTTCTTCTTCTTCTTCTTCTTCTTCTTCTTCTTCTTCTTCTTCTTCTTCTTCTTCTTCTTCTTCTTCTTCTTCTTCTTCTTCTTCTTCTTCTTCTTCTTCTTCCAGATCACTGTCCATCATGCACCCCCCCCCCCCAAAAAAAGAGGGGGGTGGTTGACGGACAGACTAGGGTGCGATTATGATAATTGTGCAGAGGGAGAGAGAGGGAGCGAGAGAGAGAGAGGGAGGGAGGGGTCAATAACTAAAGATATATGTGACTGTGTGGTGAATAGAGAAAGATGTGTATTAGTGAGAGATAGAGAGAGAGAGAGAGAGAGAGAGAGAGAGGGGGGGCAATTACTAGAGAAAGAGTACGTACGGTAATTCCGTTTGGAACCAGAAGGGTGTTAGCTCATTATACTTCAACACAGAGTTAAAGCCCTTCTGGCTCTCAACAGACTATAGTGATAAATAAGAGAGGGTATCATGAAAGATAAGGTGGTTTTAAAGATAATATGTCCCTTCTGCAGCCAACATCAAATTCTGTAGAACTTTGCAGGAATTGTGAATATGTCATGTATGTCCTATCTGTGAAGTTTAAACGTTAGCAGTGTCCTAATATTCAAATTATGCAAGGAAACCCGTTTACTTACTAAACTTCACTATTGAGTGACTGACTGGCTTTTTTCTTCTGGTAATAACATAGGCCTACATAAAATGAGCTGTAAAGGGTACATTATCATTTGTCTACATCAATAATCCACTAAAATGGCCCAAAATAAACTGATTGAATCTTTGCACAGCATAAAACGTCCGGCCATTCTGTACAAGTGGCCGAATATCAAACTATTACTTACTGGCTCTATAGCTCTTACTGATAGTCGATATTTTCCCCACTTAAAGACATTTTGAAGCCCCCCCCCACCCCCACCCCTCCTCCCTTTAGGGAAGTTATAAATTAGTATTATCTTTCAAATGCCGTTGGAATTTAACCTTTTAATTTTTTGGGCCTGCAAATGGGACTTAGAACATTTCAGTTTCAATTACGTTTAAAAGCACCAAGTATTACAAATAATATTTATATGAAAATCATGTTACGTTTTGCTCATAATGATAGAGTGTCGCGGCCTCAAAACACACACATCAATGACGTTTGGTGCATAATGACGCATAATTATTATGAAACAGTGCATGCTGATACAGTATTCTCTGGCTGGGGCGGAAGCGTGGGGGTCCAAAATTCCGTGAAATCACCCCCCCCCCTCCATATACACACACACCCTTCTCCGCTTCGACTGGCCTTGTCAATGAAACCAATACCTGTATGTTGTATGTGTAACGCTGAAATATTAATCACATATTTTATGTTGATCTATAGAGTACCGAAGCTGTGACGTCATAAAAATGTATTGGTTAGGAGCCAGAGCATATCGGTAACACTGAGTTCCTGTAGGAAAATATTTATTCAGAAGGTCATATTTAAGCCAATACTTAACATATTCAATTGGTTTTTCGACATTTGGACATTATTTTTGATGCTTTTTCGGGAACTGACGAAAAATTTGAGAAATTCTAAAAATATAGTTTTGATGACGTCACACTTCACCACTCTATTTACAAAGTGCAGTGGTGCTTATCTGTGACAATGGTAAATATTTTGTTTCCTCTACTTGCCTATTTCCGCATGACATGCATGTATGCATGCGTGAAAAATTAATAGTGGTAATAATATTTGTAAAGGCAATCGCGGTGTCCGGTTTGGTTTAATTCGAATGACGTACAATAAAAATATGAGACGCAATATCTTGATTTGCGCAAAATTCACAAGTACATTATCGAATAGTTCTTCTTCAAGCGAAGTTTAAACATCAACGGACAGCTAATCGAGGAGGTGAACTTTCTTTCGGACTTCAAAATACGAAGGTAAGAACAGTAACTTAGATGTGTAGGAATTAAGCTGGATCGTTTTGATGGAGGTGTGGACAATATGCCGTAAACACGGAAGTAACAAACAATCGATAAAACGGCTATGAAAAGTATAAAAGTAAACGAGTATGAGACGATGATGAAATGAGAATGAAGCGAGAGTGAGTATTAATATGGGTCTAGAGGAAAGAGTTGTAACACTAATGAGCTGGGGCACGTGATATATCATTATCAGAGAGACATTAAGAAAGGAAAATTAATTTTGTTAATGTGAAAGGCTGTCCTCTTTTTCTTTTTGTAATCTCTCTTTCTCTCTCTTTAATGGATAATAATTATTACAGAGGCAAATGCCATTTAAATAGATATCCATTCTCTCTCTCTCTCTCTCTCTCTCTCTCTCTCTCTCTCTCTCATTTTGTTCTCCCCCCCCCCCCCTCTCTCTCTCTCTCTCTCTCTCTCTCTCTCCTTTTTCTCCTTCCCCCCCCCCCCCCCCCTCTCTCTCCCTATCTCTCTCAGTCTCTACGTTCCCCACTAACCTTTTCTTCTGCCTGTCCCGAGTTATATGAAGCCCCTGTTTACGGTGTTCATTCCCCACACTCTTAACCATCATTCTCAGTAAACTCCCCACCCCTCTCTCTCTCTTTATTATAGCTCTTTATACATGTATAAATATATATATATATATATATATATATATATATATATATATATATATATATATATATATATATATATATATATTTGTGGAGTGCCAGGATTGTAAAGTGTAACAGACATGAGCTTTACAGAAGAACTATTACCATAAGTATTATATTTACTAGTAATAGTAATAGTATCATTAATATTTTCCTTGGGCTGTATTCTACAGGTCAATATTCTGATCAGCATGGCGGCTAACTTCAGCTCTGCAGAAGACATCTGTGAAGGAGAGAACTGTGAGGTAATCACAGATGTGACGTACTACGTGAAGGAGAAGAAGAAGCTCTGCGATGACTGCGCCTCCACAGAGGGATGCATCGGAAAAGCAAGAAAGGATGGGCCCAAAATGTATTGTGTGAGGCATGATAAAGATATTGAATTGTATTGTAACACACAGTCATAATGAAGCACTGTGTTATTCATGCGCAATGATAGATCATCAGCAGCCTTGCGAGCGACAGGATATAGAGCACGCGATCATAGAAAGTAGAACAAAACTAAACATTCTGAAAGAAAAGGCAACGGACCAACTAAAGATTTGTCAAGTTTATGGAGATCAGATTCGCCAGTGTAGGAAAGACACCGACACCCATCTACAAGCTTTGACAGATGAAGTAGATTCGGTAATCAATGAGGCGATCAAAACAGACAAAGATAGGGAGAAGAAGAATGCGGCAAAAATCAATCAGGAGTTTAATGAGAAGAATAAAAAACTTCAAGAGAAGATTCGAAAGAACGACGAGGAGAGAATGAAGCGACTTGAACTGAACCGTACAAATGCAGAGAAAAGACGAGAACCCATCGGCAATAAACAGCATAGTCTTCAAACAGACATTCAACAAATCGCTGAAGAGAAAGAGAAAAGGATTGTGGAATTGGAAAAAACATGGCAAGATGACACGAAAACCACAGAAAATACAGTACAGACACTTGACGCAGTTCTCGTAGCTGATAAAAATGTCGTCAAAGATGGGCATCATGTGAAGACATCAGTGAGTGATAAACTAAAGAAGCCACTAAATGAGGATGAGGTGAAACAAATCACCGGTACCATATCTTGTGTGAGGTTTGTGAAGGGTGCTGGGAGAGACTATGATGGGAGGATTGATGGGTATGCTGGGGAGTGGAAGCTCATTGATACAATCGATATCAAAGATAAAATTAGATACCCGTTCATTGTAGGATGCATAGATGAATACAATTTGATCATCTCAGATAGAGTATCACGTAGCTCACATACATACATGTTAGATATGAACACTAAAAACAGTCAGAGAGTGATAACCAGTAATGGTACATCAGGGGTTCTCTCCTGTGCATTGCTGAATGGTGACAAGGTAGTGTGCGGTAAAGGGTGTGATGGGCGTACAGGGGACAGTTTGACTGGATGCATCAGTGTGTATGACAGACAATGGAAGCACATCAATGACATCACAGTACCAGGAAAGAGAACGATTGATAACACATGGGTGGATGTAGCTGTTGACCAGGATGGGATAATCATCGCTGCTGAGTGGCGTAAGTCTAAGATATACGTCATCAGCCCAGCTAGTGGTAAGATCATGAATACCTTCACATGTAAGGAGAATATAAGAATGCATGGTATACTATCATCAGGTGACATCATAGCTCAACCCTCACCAGCAGATCACAGAGTGTTCATCATCGACAGACAGGGTATTCAAAGGGAAATCCCCCACAGTGATGTCATCCTGAATGCCTGCATCGATCCTATGACAGACGACCTCTACGTCGTGACATCAGATGATGAATGCAAGATGTGTGTGATTGATCAGGTGATGAGTGGGGGTGATATGAAGAAGAGAAGAGTAGCATCATTCCCTCTACCAACTAGACTGGGTAATGGGGAGGGTCACCTTCGTTCATCTCGCGTTATGATGACGTCATCAGGGAAAATGATTGCTTGCGATAGAGAAAACATTCTCATATTCAAAAAGATATTGAGCCTACAAAGCCTCACTAAGAAGCGGAAAGAACTACTCTGGAAGGTTAGAAACAAATT